GCTCTGGTGCTCTGGGCTGGGAAGCTGGCATGGGCTCGAGGCCCCATACTCCTGAGCTGAATGTCCCTTTCGATTCCCAGCTGCCGCCCATGGGTATGTGGCCAGCCCTTTCCACATCTCTGCCTTTCCTACCAGTGTTGATGTGGCTTTTCTGTAAGTCCTTGGTTATAAGGCTTCTGTTCAGCTAGTCTGCAGTTGGTTATTCAGGTTCATTGTTCTATATTTTAGTTGTAATTTCAGTTTGTTCCTGGGAGGAGGTGAGTGTAACTTGCACCTACTCTGTCCACATCCTCTTCCCCTGTTTTACAATTCGTTGTTAATCAGTCAATGTCTCGTTCATCTGGTATGGATTATTACTCATGTGAAATAGTGCAATGGCTTTTAAATCTTAACATTGCTTGTCCCCATAATACTCCAAAAGTTTCTATACTGCTCAGCATCTGGGAGCTCAAAAGCAAGCCTACTTATTTGTAAAAGCAAGTAAAAAGGATTTTGATCTGTTATCATCGCAAACTTAAACGTAGACAACTGTGTTGTGCTCTTTGTGGCTATGATTCCTGAAGACCGCCTGGTTTTCTCGCACTTGTATTCTCCCAGGGTCCAGCACCTGGCAGGGTGTTGTTCAGAGAAACTCTGTGACCAAGAGATTTTACGCACGGCTTCTCTGCATTTGTTTTCGTGCCTTAGGTGGCCTTAGGTGGCCCTGGGTGGCCTGGAGGAGGGAATGGGGCATCACAGTGGATGAGCTGTGAGGGGACCGCATTCCTCTCCCCGTGAACGCCCGCGTGTCCTTCCTCACCCAGTCTCAGTGTCTGCACCTCTGCTTCTGGGCGGATCGCAGGAGCATGCTTCTCCCATGTGAAGCATGGCCTGAAAGCGGGGGAAACCCAGGCTCATGAAGGAGTTGCTCACCTCCCAGGAAGCACATGAATGTTGTTTGGAAGCTTTGGGTTTGGGTGGATAATCGGTTAATAAATTGGATGGGTGCACGCGGCAGATTTCAGTCTGTCAGTTACAGGGCAAATGAACATCTTGTTAGCACCACCGCATTAGTTAAACTTGTGTTTCAGCAGCATGTGCCAGTCTTCCAGGTAAATTCACACCCTCATTCCTGGGGGCGGGCTTGTCATGGTCCCCCCGTCTTATCTGGTTTTCTCTGGGAGCGCTACCTAGGGGGAGTTCACAGTGCTCTGCCTCAGCTGCAGCCTTGTTCTAGTGGCTGTTCTTCCAAACTTTTTAAAGGTGATTCTCCTTCATCACCATCTGAGAATAGCTGGAGGTGAGATGTGCGTCCTGTGGCTGCATTTCCTGATCTAAGGCATGTGCCAAGCCAAGGACAACGAGTCGGGGCCAGCCGGCTTCCTGTTGGCCTCAGCTTGCTTGTGTGTTCTGTGTGTCTTCTTGGCGCTTTCTCTCCTCCTTTATTGCTTTCCATGGACTGGAGGGGTTTTTATTCCCTTTCCCACCCCTCTGCATTGGTCTTGAGCTTGAAGGTTGGATTTCGGTGCTTTTAGTGGTTATTTTTAGACATCTTTTCTTTTTTTTAAGATTTTATTAATTTATTTTAAAGGGGAAGAGAGGGAGAAAGAAAGGGAGAGAAACATCAGAGTGGTTGCCTCTTGCATGCCCCCAACTGGGGATCTGGCCCACAACCCAGGCATGTGCCCTGACTGGGAATCGAACCAGCGACATATCAGTCCACAGGCCAGCGCTCAATCCATTGAGCCACACCAGCCAGGGTGTGTTACTCTTAGACATCTTAAGTGTGTTCTTAATATCTTTCCTCTGTCCTAGCCCTGCAAGGAGTTAAGAATGCTCTCTGCACACAGTTCTGATACTGACACACTTAGTAAACACTTAGTATTGAAAAACGCTGAATAGTGTTTTAGTTTTACAGTTTAAAAGTCCTATAATTCATCACTGTTCCTGTTTTTTAGTGACCAAACTTACGTGTAGGTGCCCACCTCTTCTCCAGTCCCCGTTGCTTCTGTGTGTGGCACGTCCTTCCCACGTGCGCCTTTGGAGCTTCTTGCTGCAGGGAGCCTGCGAGCGGGAAGCTGTTCCAAGGTTTTCTTTATATACAAATGTCTTTGTTTTACTTTCAATCCCAATTTCTGTATTTCTAAGTTTGTAATAATTTTTCAAAAGTATTTTTATGGAATTATTCTACTTTCTCCTGGCCTGCTTTTGGTTGATTTGAATTCTCTTGTCGGATTATCTGTTTGAACGGCAGTCAGACATTCCTTCTCTCTAATTCATCTTTAGTGTTTCACTTTTTGTGTGTGTGTGGTGGGGGGGTAAGTTGTTGCTATGCAGTTTTACCTACCTAGGTGTGGAATTACTTTTATTCTACCTGAGGCTTGTTTTCCTTCTAATATCTTAGCCTTTATATTTTCCATCAGTGCTAGGAAATGACAGCCACTGTCTCTTCAGCTGCGACTCCTTGCTCCTTACTTTCATTTTGCCCTCGGCGATTACCAGCTTCCTCTTGCTGGGCTGCCTCATTCTGCTGCTGTTCATGCCTCCTGTTTTCACATGTGCTGCCTCACTGGGCCTCTGCTAGAATTCGAGTCACTTCCTCAGATGTCTCTTCCAGTTCAACAGTACTCTTTCAGTTAAATCTAATTTGCTTTTTCACACATCGACTGAGCTATTTTTATCTCCATAGCTCTATTTTTTATATCTAGAGTTTTTATTTGGTTCTTTTTTAAATCTGACCTTTATTTTTCAGTGTCCGTAATGCTTTATGCCATGTTTTATGTCGGTAACCATGCAGGAGGTGGCGCTGTTAGCGTTTCTCCCCTCACTCACTCCGTGAAGCGCAGGGCTTCGTGGGCCGGAGGCAGCGCTCTCCTGAGCACAGCGATTCATCTGCCCCGTGGCCCCGCTCTTACTTGGTTAATGCTTTTGGTCACGTGCTGTGGAGGGTCTTGCTGAGTCAGAAGATCGGTCCAAGTGTGAGAGTGAGTTGTAGGATGATTGCCTCTATTAGAAACCCTGCTATTCTAATTTCATGATCATTTATCCCATTGGCCGTTCTGTTCTTACAGTCATACAAAAGATTCTTCTTTGTCTTCCCCATATTCTTTAGTTTGTGTTAAAGTCAATCTCTTTCATGCCTATGATTTAAAAAGTTATTAACTGAGCATGTATTATTTAACCAGACACCCAAGGTTAGAGAGCTAGTAAGTTTCTCAGAAGACAGGAGAATTCAGAAGGAGAGAATACAGTGAGCATTCTAGTCATGCCTGGCCACGTGAGTGAAACTGTACAAACTGATTAGTCTTTTTTGAGTTCAGCTTCTGTGGTGGAATCTGGAGACGTCAGACACACCTCTCAGAGTTGTCATTTGGAAACTCCATTAGCTTTCTAAAATTGCTTTCAACTAAAAGTGAAATGCATAGGCTAAGAACAAATAGATCAGGATGACAATGAGTTGAGGCGACAGTATCTTTATGAAAACCAGCAAGGCTTTGGTGAGGAATTTAAGGGCTGTCAGACTTGTAAAACCAATCAAACAAAATTTTTTCAGGTAATGGCTGTTACTGGTGCAAACGCTCATGTAACAATGTAACATGCATGATACAGTGATTCCTCTCATCAGAGTTAAGTATATTTTAAAGAGACCTTTAGAATCTTTAGAGTCTGAGAGTTTGTACACTGTTGAAGCTTTCTGTAGACTGGTTTGCATGCTATCAGATATAGCCGTGGTCTTCAGAGACGTATGAAGACAACAGATAATAGACCGCCACTTGTTATACAGTGGCTTGAAAATTCAGGTTCTTTGTATTTCAGACAATTGCAAAAATAGCTTCAAATTCAGTAGAAATTCTAGACCAATTCTAAAAGCTAAACCAATTTTCCGAGCCCTTGAGTTGCTCACTGCAGCTGTCGCGACTGAGTACACAGCTGCGGCTGACGCCCCACCGCTTGCTTGTTCTGCCTCCTTCTGTCGGGCAGCAGTCCTGTCCACACAGTGAGGCCAACAGTGAGCCCATCCCCCTCAGTGACGTGGCTTCATGCCGGGAAATAAGGCGGTCCTGGCTTCCACTCAGTCGTGAGCTGACACAGACAGCTGTCGTTTCTGGGGAGGAAGGGGAATCTGACGGAGAAGGCGCTTAGTGGTGTTGGTTGGGTTTGAGGCAGATACGATGCATTTGACCAAGGCCTTGGGATGTTCCTAAATGATTTCCAGGTGGCCTCAGCCGACGCTTGCGAGTGAGGCTGTTGGTGTGGAACAGTGACTCTGTGCTTCACTTGCCTCGCGCTCCGTCAGTGATCGCGGGGTGTCACGTGTTGCTGTTGTGGGGATGTTGCTGTCCACTGTGCAGGAAGTTGCAGGTTCTGGGGCTTGCCTTCTTTGTGATTCTGGGCAGATCTGTTATGCTGTTTAGATGTGCGGTTTTCCACCTTTGAAATTGGGTAGTTTAATTAGAATTATAAAATCATGGCACTTCAGAGCTTACAGGGTCCTAGAAATCCGTATGTTCATGAAGCTGAGGCCCCCAGGCAGCGGCTGGACCAGGCCTAGAGCCCAGCCTCCTGAGCGCCTGCCATTGCCTCCCCTCACCTGCAGAATCTGGGGCGTGAGATGATTTCTGTGAGGGGGGCGCAGTAGAAAGGGTGAGCAGAAGCGCAGGCTTTGCACTTGGACAGTCCTGGTGCAGTTACCCCATTACCTTTGTGAACGCGGGCAGGTTTCCTAATCTCTCTAAGCCTGTTTTTCAGCTGCAGACCAGGAATGATTCTTAACCTTTGTTGTGCAAAATGAGTGACTTCTTACCTTGTGCACATGTGCTGTGGGCCCTTTGTGAGCCCTCTGACTCCAGGCCTCGCCCGCGGAGGCCGGCCCCGGGGCCTGCGTTCTGGCCGGGGAAGCGCAGAAGCTTCAGTTCCCGCCTTCCCACCAGCACAGTCGTCCTGTTTGGGCAGCTCCTTGACGGGTGTGGGGGGAGCCTAGGACGAGGGCACTGACAGCTTCTCTGCTCTTCTGCCGGCAGCCATCTACCACACCTGTGAGGCTTCCAACTTCCAGTGCCGCAACGGGCACTGCATCCCGCAGCGGTGGGCCTGCGACGGCGACATGGACTGCCAGGACGGCTCTGACGAGGACCCGACCAGCTGTGGTAAGCATGGGCGTGTGGACCCCCCACCTGGGGCTGCTCCCCTTTGCGCTGTTTGGGGGAGGCAGTCAGAAACAGACCGTGTTCCGCCTGCACGTGCGCCCAGGCCTCTGTGGGTCCCACGGGATTTGTGCAGGCTCGGTTCCCAGGCAAGCAGTTGACCACGCTGCTCCTCCATGACAGCTTTGCAGAAAACAACCGAGACCAGCTAATGCACCCAGAGTGCCAAAGATGGTCCCCCTCCCAGTGTTCTGCCAGGGGGTAGCCAACAGTCCCCGTGTAACTAGCAGGCATCCGGACCGAGGGTGCCCTGTCATGGTCCTTAGGGAAAACAGCTTATCTGCCCAAAAGTGGAACCTTGTCAGTAGAATTGATTTAACAAAGAATTCCGAGGCAGCCCATCACCTTCACAACAGAAGTTAACCACAAAGTAGCTGCCACCGAAACAATATGTGACATGCCTTCTACACTGAATTTTTATAAGGTTTCCTGTCCTTACCCTTTTGCTCTGTGCCTGTAGAAAAAACTCCCCATGTTTCTCCTCTACTCTCAATGCTCATAGGCTACTTCTGACACTTTTTGGCCACCAGATGTGCACTTTCCACACCAGGCAGTTCTCCAGCCCCAACAGGGGTGCCCCCTGATTTAACTGCGGCGCTCTTTTCCTTGAGACAGCGTCAGATCTTACAGGTTAGGGGCTGAGTCCTGCAAGGCTCTCTCCCGCACCCTGGGGCACCAGTCGCAGGCCACGTGCACCTGGATCTCTGACGGACCAGCTATAAACCTGGACTCTCACGATGCCCTCCCTGGGTTGGATCACTTGCTAAAATGGCTCACAGAACTCAGAGAAACAGTTATCAAATTTATAGTAAAGGACCTTGATAAAGGACAGAGATGAACACCCAGGTGGAAGAGATGCAGAGGGCAGATCTGGGGAGGGCGTGTGGAGCTTCCGTGTTCTCTCTGGGTGCCACCCTGCCGCACCTCCACATGTTCAGCAACCTGGAAGCTCTCTGAACTCTGTGCTTCTGGGATTTTTAGAGTCTTCATCACATAGGCATGATTGACTATTCACTCAGTCTCCATCCCCCTCTCCTTCCTGGAGATTACAAGGGTTTTAGGAGCTCTGGGCCTGGAACCAGGGGCAGAGACCAATGTGTGTATTTCCTGTTTTATCCCATAGGGTCCACGTTTTCATGGACCTGGAGTCACTGTCTCTGTGTTGTTACGTATCACAGCCCTTCCCAGTCCCAGGGTTAACCAGACCGTTTCCCCATCTCCGTGTTTTTCTGCAGTTAGCACTTGTGTGGCAGATGCATCGTCACCATTTGTGCCTATAAATTAGTTTGCTTGGTCACACCCTGGGAGGGCATTCCGGTGTTTGTAGTTCACAGTGTTAATGCATAACAGAACTATTTGTGTCCTTGGAAATGAAAGCTCATTTTTCCTTTGAGATGTAGTCATCCCTTGGTGTTGCTGAGGGTTGGTTCAAGGAAACCCTGTGGGAACCAAAACCTGTGATGCTCTGGGACCCAGGTTGGCCCTCCATTGCTGTGGGTTCTGTGGCTGCCTGTGCAAGGCCCCGCGGTTTTCTGTTTGAGGTCGGTGGCACCTACTGATGGGGAACCCTCAGATATGGAGGGCCAATGTCTTCCTGGGGTACATCCTTTAAGATGGAATTGCGGGGTCACAGGCTCTGATTGATTTTAATGGTTCTCGTTAAGTATTTCTGGATTTTATTTCCAACTGATCATACTAAAAAACATCTCCATTGGTAATATGTTGTATGTTTCCCCAAGTCTCCCTTGGTATTTATTACATTTTGTCTTTTTAATTGCTTTAATCACAAGTTTAATGAGTGGGCGTTGTCTCATGTGATTTTAATTTTATGCTTTTTAAAAAGACTTGTTTTTTTAACCCTTATCACCTTTGCCTGTTGCCTGCTAAGCAGCCCAGGTAGGCAGGCCCTACTCGGCCTGGCCACAAGGCCCGCACGGCCCGGCGCTGACGCACACTCAGGGTCCCATCCGCTCCCAGCCCTGTGGGGCGCTGCAGGCCTGGGCGTTCGGACTTCCCTGCTGAAGCTGGGGGGCTGGGGCAGCCAGGAAGCAGCGCGGCGCCAGGGGCCACGGCAGAGCTCGGGCTGGGGCCAGGCCCCAGGACTCTGCCGGCCTTTGGGTTGGGGCGACCCCTCAGCTTCCCTCGGTGCCCGGTTCCTCTCTGGGCATGGCACACGAGTCCCAAAGACAGACATTTTTCAGCCCTGTACTTGATTCCAAAAGCTAAAACATCTTTTTATACTTAGTGACATTTTTCTCCAATTGTGGTGCTCATTTGCTGTTTCTGTTAGATGTCGTTCAAGTACTTTCCTAGGAATGATGACTTTTTACACGATTAAAGCCCATTTCTTTGCCTTATACCTGGCCTCCTGGATGGTCCACCGGGGCACTGTCTGCAGCGGCCACGCTGACCTGCTGGACTGGCCTTAAGGCCTCAGGTTGGGCAGTGGCTCTCTGTTGAGGAGAAAGGGTGACCCAATGCCAAGAACTCTTTGCCAAGTGAGAAACCTGTTTCTTAACATTTCTGGGACAGACTTTTTCCATAAGGGCTTCGGCTTAGAATTCCTAAAGAATAAAGATGGTGATTTAAGAGAACTTTAAAAAAGAGGGTTTACAATCACGGGGAATTTTTTTCCCTATTCACAGGAGCTTTGCTCTTACTTTTTAAGAAAATATAGATACTTAATTTTTTTGAGTGAGCAACATAACACATTCACATGGTTCAAAATGGAAAATAATATTATAAGCTATCTAGTACACACATCCCTCCCCATCTGCCCAGTTCCCACCCTGTCCGCATAGGAAACCGTGATTGTACTCCTGTATCCTTTCAGACTATTTTGAGCACATAGGCAAAGTTAAATATACTGTGTATTCTTGTTTGATTTCACACAAGCAGTATGCTGTGCCTGTTGTTTTGTACCTTATTTTTCATATAGCTGTATATCCAGGACATTTTTATAGTGTTTCTTCAATCTCTTCATAACAGTGTAGCATCCCAGCATATAACAACTTATTACAAGGTTCCCTGTTGACCGACACGTAGGTGGTTTTCAATCCGTTACAGCGTTGTGGTGGAGAACCTTGTACTTACATTCTTTCTCACTGGTGTGGGCAGAGGACATCTCTCCAAGCGGCACTGCTCGCTCCCCTCTGTACATGCTTGTAATGGGCTGGCTGTTGCAGACAGCCCTCCTCGCGGGCGGCAGGAGCAGTGCTCCGAGGGGCGCCTGCTTGTTTCGCCCGGGCCATTCTGCTCCATGGTCGCCCTCCATTTCAGAGAGGAAGTGCAACGGGTTCCGCTGCCCGAACGGCACCTGCATCCCCTCCAGCAAGCACTGTGACGGCCTGTGGGACTGCTCGGACGGCTCGGACGAGCAGCGGTGCGGTGAGTCCCCTCCCTGCCCCCGGGACCACCACGCGGCGCGAGTGTGGGCAGCGAGGACCAGGCTGGACCCTCTCATTCCCTTTGTACCTGCTTATAGTGAGCTTTTAACCAGGTTGACCCCGACTCTGGGAGACACAGAACCAATAGGATGTGCATCCCTTTTAAGCAGTTGTCTCATGCCGGGATGAAGGTGGGCGAGTCCACAGCGTGCGGTGGGCTGGCCAGAGGGAGGCCCAGAGCCATGATGCTGCAGTTATTTCCTCCCGCGGCCTTTCCTCTTTGTGTGCATCTCTGGTGTGTTGTCTTAGGAGAGCACGGGCCCTATTGGGTCAGAGCTCTGCCCTGGTTCATTTAACATTCATTCACCTCTTCCAACTGTATGTATCTCATGCACCCTTAATCACCTCGTCAAAGGCCCTGTGTGCAAACACAGCCACACTGGGAATTACGGCTTCAGCGTCAGAGCTGCAGGAGGCGGGGATACGACTGCACCCATGACACTGGTCCTTCGTGAAGGTCCCCTCCCCCACCGCCCGTGTCACAGAGCTGTGTCACATTAGCAGTGATTCAGATCATGGGCTCTCCCATCCGGCAGCCTTGGGCTTCAGTCTTTGTTTCACCCTCACCTGCTGTGTGCTCTTGGCAAAACACAATGTTGCCATTTCGTTTCCTCCCTCCTTTTGAGAGCTGTGTAATACCATTTCTCCTAGCATTGTCTTTCGAGTTTAATGATGGACTTTTATATCAGGTGTTTGAGGTCAGGGCTTGGCACAAAGCAAGTGCTCAGTAAGTGAGGGCAGCTCCTCTTTCCGGGGAGCTCCTGCGCCAGGATGCACGGGCCCGCCAGCCCCGTGCACTCGGGGCCCTGACCCCCCGCCCCCCGGCCCCTTCCAGAGCCCCTCTGTACGCGCTTCATGGACTTCGTGTGTAAGAACCGCCAGCAGTGCCTGTTCCAGTCCATGGTGTGCGACGGGATCGTGCAGTGCCGGGACGGCTCAGACGAGGACGCAGCCTTCGCAGGATGCTGTGAGTGGGGCGCGCGGGGGCGCCGGGCCGTGGCGGGAGCCGCCCGGGGTGGGCCGCCACGGGCGGCGACGCCTCTCGTTCGCAGGTCTTGGTTATATGTCCAGTCTTGCGTTTGCTGAGCAAGGTTTACGTTTCTTGCTTCTGAAGTCATGCTTGTTCGTTGCTAATGTATGTCTTCAGGGAAGACCGAGAAGGACCAGGACCTAGGCTCAGGTGTCACCTTCTCTGACAGGCCTCCTTGCCCCTTGCACTCTGTGCGCCCCTGTCTTGCTCAGCGGTCTACACAGCACTCGCTTCCACCTCGTACCCTGGATATTGATCCGCCTGCCTGCCTGTCCCTTCTGGAATGCGTGCCCTGGTCTCTGTGGCGGCCCCATTCTCGACGCTGCCGCGCGTGGAACCAGTGCTTGTGTGCGTCAGCTCTGGCCTCCACAGCGTAAAGGCCCACAGGCAGGGCGGCCTGAACAACAGATACACCTTTCTTCACAGTTGGGGGCCGGGGTTCCAAGGTCAAGGTGTCAGCGGGTTTGCTCTCTCCTGAGGCCTGTCTCCTTCATTTGCCTGTGGCTGTCTTCTCCCTGTGTCCTCACAGGGTCTCCCCTGGCCTGTCTGTGACCTAATGTCCCCGTGTCACAAGGACACCAGTCACACGGGGTTCAGATGTCACCGTGACGACCCAATCACCCTTCTAAAGACCTCTCCAGATGCAGCCACATTCTGAGTTCCTGGGGGTTAAGCCTTTAGTTAATTGACTTTTTGCTTCCAAGGAATGAGTCCGCTAGACCAGAGGTGTCTAACCTTTTGGTGTCTCTGGGCCACACTGGAAGAGGAAGAGTTGTTTTGGGCCACAGGTTAAATACACCGTGGGCCATAATCACAAAAAAATCTCATGTTTTAAGTGAATTTATGATTTTGTGTTCGGCCACATTCACAGCTGTCCAGGGCTGCATGTGGCCGCGAGTCGGACGCCCCTGCTGGGCCGTCTCTGCCGGGAGGACTTCTGCCCTTTCTCTTGTTTCGGAGCAGCCCCGTTACTTGGAGCTTTTCAGTGTGGCAGGGATTTCATGGGTGTTCCTTTCTTGTCCAGCCCAAGACCCCGAGTTTCACAAGGTCTGCGATGAGTTCAGTTTCCAGTGTCAGAACGGCGTGTGCGTCAGCCTGGTCTGGAAGTGCGACGGGATGGACGATTGTGGCGACGGCTCTGACGAGGCCAGCTGTGGTGAGCCTGCTCCCCCTTGCCGGCTCCTCCCCGCCCCTCGCCCGTCCCCGCCCCTCGCCCCTCGCCCCTCCCCGCCCCCTCGCCCCTCCCCGCCCCCTCGCCCCGCCCCCCGCCCCGCCCCCTCGCCCCTCGCCCCGCCCCTCGCCCCGCCCCCTCGCCCCGCCCCGCCCTCGCTCCTTCCCCGCCCTTGGTCCGGCTCTGGGCCTGTGGTCAGGTGGGACTCCCACGAGCACAGCGCACACCGCCTGCGCCTTCCCCGCCTACCCCCCCCCCCCGCCCCCCCCCCCCCCCCCGCCCCGCAGCATGTCCTGCCAGTGCTGAACTCTGTGAAGGGAGCTGAGGCTTGAACAGGCAGCCTGACCCCCGTGGGGCTCAGGGACGCTTACAACATTTCATCCTCTTTCCGTAGTCGGGAAGGTCCTATTCCGTATAAGGGCCATGGTGGGTAAGGATGTAATGGCAATTGTTTCGAAGTGAGCTGCCCCCTCCTCTCCTAAAGTTTTAGATACCACAGTGTAATAGCATCAGTGCAACCATTGTGTTGTCATCAGCAGTTAGGTCGTTCCTTTGCTTAAGTGTCAAAATAAAAACTCAGGTATACGAGTTTGGGTCCGGGAAGATGGGCTTTGGTTGAGTGTGTGAATTTATTCTTGGTCACTCACTGGATCTCTGTTGGGGACATCAGGTAGGACCTACAGGCAGCCCTGAGACACGGGTGTGAGCGGGTTGAGTGTGTATTAGAGCTTTCTGTTCACACTGGTGCAGGGAAGCTGACTGACGGTGTGTTTGACTCTCCAGAAAACCCCACAGAAGCCCCAAACTGCTCCCGCTACTTCCGGTTCCAGTGTGAGAACGGCCACTGCGTCCCCAACCGGTGGAAGTGTGACGGAGAGAACGACTGTGGGGACTGGTCCGACGAGAGGGACTGTGGAGGTAGGAGGCCGGAGGTCCTGGAGTCTGCACAGCACGACGCTTCCGGCTTGGCTCAGCGACTGTGTTGGGTTGTTTTGTTTTGTTTTGTTTTGTTTTGGCCGGGACGTAGCTCTCTGATTTCTAGCCCTCTCTCATTTGGAAGATTCGTGCAGCGGGTTTCTCCCATCCCTGGGCGCATGCGTTCCGTGTTTGGTAGTGCGCAGTAAGCCCTAGAACCTGGCCGCCCCAAGGGTGGTGTGCAGGGCAGAGGCTCCTGCGCCCCTAACAGGGATGCAGACCCTGACCTCCCCCAGGCCTCCGTCCTGAGTCAGAGGCCGCGCTGCGAGGAGACTCTAGGCAGCTCCAGGGCCCTGGCCGGGTTGGGCAGCACGGATGGGGGACGGTGCCCGTGCCTCTCGCTTTTGTTTCCTCCTGCCTGAGCCAGGCCTCGGGGGGTTGTGGTCAGTGGGATTAACTGGAACAGTGTGTAACCTCCAAAGGAATCTATACCACTCCCCCATCCTCTGCCCCGTGCATTCTGGGTCACCTCCCTTTCATCAGCCTGCAAGGGCAAACTCATCTGAATATTATTAGCCTAAATCAAATATAATAAGTCAGGCGAATCAGCTCCAAAAAGGGGACAATACCGTCTATTCTGACACCCCGTTATAAATGATGGGTAGATGAGCTGCGCGTCAGTGCTTTGCCAGGCACTAGGGTGATGCAGCTAAAAGTGAGAGTTCCATCCTCGTTTTGGGACCCATTTTAGTCTGAGATCAAGCTTCTTGTAACCCTGTGGATTTTTTGCTGGATGTTTTCCTCAGACTCCCGTACTCCTCCCTCTCCCACCCCGGGGCCCTCGACGTGCCCACCGAATCACTACCGCTGCAGCAACGGGGCTTGTGTGACAGGCACCTGGGTGTGTGACGGGTACCGGGACTGTGCGGACGGCTCGGACGAGGAAGCCTGCCCCTCGCCCGGTGAGTGCCGGCCCCCCTTTACCGGCGGTAGGAGAGGGCCTTCCGGGTCCACCCTGGGCACCACATGGCTGGCTGGTGGCCTGCTGCTGGGGACACTGAGCACGGTGGTCAGCCTGCTTCTCCCCTCCAGAGCCTGGGGACTTCGGAGAACTAGGAACTGGCGTGCCCCGTATTTTATGAATGTCCTTTGCTCTTCCTGCAGGAAGAGGCAGCCATCCTGCTTCCCACCCTGGCTGCAGTTGGGGGCTTTCGCTTGCTTCTCCCTGGGAAATCACAATGGGAACTGTGGGGAAGTGTGTGTGTGTGTCTCTCTCTCTCATGCCCTGTGGGGAGAGCCCAGTCTCCTGCTTGCTGGTTGGTGGCCCTCCTACTGGAACACGGGTGAGCACTGACATCTAGTGGCAGAACACAGAGAGGCAGCTGAGTGTTTCCGCAGAACCAGATTGCTCGGGGGTGGGGTGAAGCGGGAGACCCGGTCCAGTGCGGGCCCTTGAGGGAATCCAGAAGTGAGGAGCCTGTGTGCTCTCCTAAACAAGATTCTGTTTCAAATTCATTTATAGTTAGAGAATCGACCATTGTCTTCCATGCTTTTGTTAGCAAAGTTCTAGGTCAGCCACGTGAATTTTCTCCTTCTAGATTGTTTCCGTCCCACTGTGGCCCTGTTTAAAATCATCAGTGGTTTCCTTTGTCCTCTGCCTGGGAGCTGGACCCTGACCCCAGAGTCCTATCTGCAGGTCCCTGTGTAAACTGACGCCTTGCCTGGCTCTGCCTCTCCCACCCGTCCTGCTGGGCCCCTGTCTGCTCCGGACACACCTGCCTCTTCTGTGCCCGTGCCTGTCAGCAGGGTGTCGCCTCTCCGGGACCCCGCCTTCCTTGACCACGGCCACCCCCTTCCCCGCCGGGGAAACCGCCACCCATCACAGCATGCAGAAGCACGGGTTGTTACTGAAGGAGACCTAGACGTGCCCTCAGCGTTTCTCAAAGAACGGCACACAGGTCGCCTATAATGGAGTCGCTACTGGTGTTTGTAAAGACGTAGAATCAGAATTTCCAGATGGAGCGCAGGAGCCTCCCGCTCGGTCCGTAGGTTCACTGAAGTTTGAGGCTCCTGCTTCCAACAAGGAGGGGCTGGGTCTCTCTCTCAAGCCCCTCCTCCCTGGAGCATTCATTGAGTCCTTTATTAAATGATGTGGGTCTCTTTTCCGATCTTATTGAAGATGGCATTTTATTCTTAACGGTGTTTGCTCTATGTGCTTCCTAATCATTTCATGTGGGTGAATCTTTTCTTCCTAACAATTGTGTTTTGGGATCATGCTGCATACTACTTTGAATCCACGACTGTGCCTGCCACAATGATAGGCAGATAGTCAGGTCTACCATAAATGCTTCTCAAATTAAAACGAATGGTTAAAAAACCCCAAAAAACAAAACAAAACAAAGCCAGTTTTATCTCTGCCTCTTTCCCCCAAGGCCCACCTCTCTGTCGAATAACGATTATCCGTCTCTTAAAATTGCTTTTGGTTGCTGAAACTCTGAGGACAGTAACAAACTCCAACAAATTCTGACTAGGTCAGTGAATGAGCAGATTCCTATTTTGATATTCCATTCAGCTTTTGTAAAGATTTCTTTTTTTTAATGCATGTCGTTGGTTCAAATTTAGATTGGTGGTCTCTCTGGCTCTCGCGTGTTACTTCCTCAGTGTAACAGTCTCCTGGCGGTTGCGTTGCCCCTTGTCTCTCCCTTCCCGTTTCATCTTCCAAGAAGCCACACGTTGATGCAACACTGTATCCTCCCTGTAGTGGAGCCCGCTCCTGGCTCCCCCGTTGTCCAGGCACTAGGGCCATGGTTTGCCTGGGCCTTGATTTTTAGCCTCATTCTTCGCTGCTCCCCGCCCCGCCGCGTGTGCCTGTTGTAGCAGTGCTGGGGCTTGTTGGAGAGGCCCCTTTGAACATTCAGTTAAAACCGTGGGCCACTTCGAATACCTAGAAGAGCAGTAGCTGCTCCTCTGTCTGTCAGCTCAGGTTATCTTGTACCATGTGCTGGTGCTTTCCCCCATCAGTCGCCTCTCTGGATGCTGTTCCACACAGTCACCCTGTCTGCAGATCCCTGCAGCCCCCCTCTCTGCACAGTGGCCCCCCGCCCCCGGCCGTCCCGCTCGGCACAGCGCGGCCGCCCTGCCTTGCGGTTGCTCTCCGGGCCCGGAGCCAGCCCCTGGCCCGGGGACGCCGCTGCCCTCCTTGGGTTGCTCTGGGCCTTTTTCCTGAGTTAGGTCCCCTGTCTCCTGGATCTTGCGCCTGGCTTTTTCTGGGTTTACTCCCTCGTTTTGGGGGAGCGTACCCTCCGGTAGCTTTGCCAGGGGGCTGTGGTGACACAGTGGCCAAGGGCACGGTCCTGACAGCCTTCGGTGTGTGCGGCGTCGCCCTTTGCTCTCCTTTCCCCTCCCGGTTGCCCTGTACCCGGGCACAGGCGACTCAGAGCTGCGGCTTCTCCATCCTCCGTTCACTTTCGCTCTGTGTTGTGTTGGAGTTCCAATTTTCTCTATCCCGGGTTTTTCTCTTTTTTTAATCTCATGTTTTGATAGTGCATATTTTCCAGAAAGTTCCTGAGGAAGGGTACATGGACGGGAGGTACACTTGGGGTCTTGCTTGTTCGAAAGGGCTTTTCTCCAGCCTTTAGACCTGATTGATCAATCGTGGGGCTGGGTTTGGAATCCCCAGCTGTAAGGAACTTTACTTCAGAACTTTGAAGGCGCGGCTCCACCCTCTGCCTTGAGCAGCTCTCCTGGAGTCCGAAGCCGCGTTGAGCTGGGTCTTTTGTGTGCGACCTGTCCTTGCTCTCTGGAAGCTCCTTGCTTTCCCCGTTGACACCAGTGTTCTGGTATTTCACAGCGACGTGTTTCTGTGCCCTTTTCTCTCCAGTGTCATGGACACAAGAGGCATTTTTATTTTGGAAATTGATGTATTTTAGTTTTAAGAATTTTTCTTGAAGTATGCCATTCATGATATTTTCTTTCCTGTTTTCTTTTTCTTCTTGGAACTATTGTCATTTAAATATTGCATCTTCTGCTCTGGTCCTCATTTTTTCTAATCTTTTGTATTTTTTAACTTCTTTATATATACTTTTTCCTACTCTGGAATATTTATTCAGTTCTGTCTTCCAGCTCTTCTGAGTTTTCCATATGAGTTTTCATGGTTTTAATTTTAAGAGCTCCTAAATTTTTGATACTGTTTCTTTTTTATAGCCACTTTTCCTTTTCTTCATATAAATATATAGTCTTTCTGAACATATTAAGGATATATTTTTTGAAATTTTCTTCTTAAAAAATTTTTGTGTCCTCCAAATTTCCTTTGCTGGGCGGAGGCCGTCTACGCAGGTGTCCGGTTTTCATGCCACAGGTTTTCCCCAGATAGTCCGCGAGGGCCCCTCGTGTTTACGCCAGGGACCAAGGTGCTGCTCAGGGGCGCTGCACCTGTCGGGGAGGGCACGGGGGGCTCGTCTGCCCTGAGTTTCTGGGTTGGGCTGTTTGAGGAACTCCTGTTCTGGGTTACCTTCTTGTTTGTCTCTGAGACGGGTCACTTTTTCTAGAGAAGATTTTACAGAATAAAAGTCTCGCTGCCAGGTTTCGAAAGAAGTAGGGCATTCCTGCCTTCCACGATCTGTAAGTTCAATCCCCCTGTTCAGTACCACATTCTCACTTCCAGCTGTTTCTGTCTGAACAGCCCTGTTTCCACCCGCCCCCAGCAGCAGTTCTCCAGCCCTTTGAGGGCCAGGTACAGGGCGGTGACCCCCGCGGCCAGTGGGGAGGGAACGCAGGGGGTCTGCTGCTTGTGGCAGAGCTTTACTCTTCCCTCTTCTCCTCTGGGTGAACTGCCATTTTAAGGCTTTTTGAGGGTTCAGTGATGTTGGTCTTGCTGGCCCTTAGCTTGCTCCCCTGGCAGCTTAGGATAGGATGCAGCCTTCTGTGGCCTCTTCATCCACCTGCGAGTGTCCGTCTGCTTTCCAGCTCCCAGACTTTTGTGGCGCTTGTCTCTTGGGCTCCTGGGAGAGAGCAAAATCGGAGGCCTCTGCCTAGTCCGTGTCTCCCTCCAGAGCTCACACTGGTCTTCCGGGCCTCGCAGTGATTCCTCCCCGGCGGTTGCCTCCGCGCGCACTGACCTGGTTACTGTCGCTGGCCAGTTCCTTCAATCCTAAAAATGAATTTAAGAAATCCCTCTTTCTAGCAAATGTTACCACGGCCTCCACTCCCACCCCGCGTGGGCGATGTGACCGATTTGAGTTCGAGTGCCACCAGCCAAGGAAGTGCATCCCCAACTGGAAGCGCTGTGACGGCCACCGGGACTGCCAGGACGGCCAGGACGAAGCCAGCTGCCGTGAGTGTGGGGGTCGTGCCCTTGGGGACCTCTGAGAGCATGGTGTGCCCTTACTTGTGCTTCGTTGGTCTGAATAATTTTGTAATTTTGGTATTATCTCCATGTTAGAGATAGGAATATTAAGTTTCAAAGAAGATTATGTCATCAGTAACAGGCTGGTATATTTATTTAGGGCTTTTTTTTTTTTTTTTTTTTTGTGGTACAAAGTTGTTATCTTTTTGTCATGCTGTGTTGCAAGTTCTTACAGGATGGAATACTCCAAAATAACAAAGAGAAATTAAATAAGGATTAGTGTAAAATTCAACACTTAATGAAAAGAATGTACAAAGTGTACCACTGGGACATTAAACTAGCAGGTCAGCCCTGGCTGGTGTGGCTCAGTGGATTGGGTGCCGGCCTGCAAACGAAAGTCGCTGGTTTGAGTCCCGGTGTAGGGCACATGCCTGTGTTGCGGGCCAGGTCCCCCAGTTGGGGGCGTGCAAGAGGCAACCACACATTGATGTTTCTTTCCCTCTCTTCTCCCTCCCTTCCCCTCTCTAAAAATAAGTAAATAAAATCTTTTAAAAAAACTATGAAGTCAGCCCTGGCTGGTGTGGCTCAGTGGACTGAGTGCTAGCCTACTAACCAAAGGGTTGCCAGTTCGATTCCCAGTCAGGGCACATGACTAGGTTGTGGGCCAGGTCCCCAGTAGGGGGCACATGAGAGGCAACCACGCATTGATGTTTCTCTCCCTCTCTTTTTCCTTCCCTTCCCCTCTCTAAAAATAAGTAAATAAAATCTTTAAAAAAAAATAGGTTAGACAGACCACACGCTTACCAAAATCACAGTAGAAACAACATAGAAAATAGTTAACAAAAAGGAACTGGAGCTGGGAAAAGGAACTTCCTCCTGGGTGAGACTAAGTCATTAATTGTTATTCATTAAACAAGTTTCTTTAGCCTGTTTCAAATCTGCCTTATTCTTAAGGATGTTGCTTAGTTAAGGTTCTTAAATTCAAGATGTGTTCTACTGACAGTTTTCTGCAGTTCATTAATCTGATAACCTTATCCAAAAAAAGATTAGTGTGGCATGATTTTTCTTAGAGAAGCCGGCTGCTGCATTCTGCTCTAAGTGCCCATAAGTATACATTTAATAATCAGTTTAAGAATTTTCAGAGATTAATGACAACCTTACTTCCAATGTCTAAAACCTGTGTTTTAAAATATTGAGGCATGTTTCATGAACCTCAGAAATCTTCAAGCTTTAATACTCAGCTGTTTGATTATATTGAAGTATTTTATAACATTCTTACCATATGGAATAATTCTGCGATGGTGACCTGTCGTGGGGAGCGCAGGGCTCCTGGATCCGAGGGTCACTGTTTGGGGCCAGCGGAGGTGGGACGCCGACTCTGAACCCTGCAGCGCCTGTCCGGGCTTGTCATGGATGGGTCAATAAACACGAGTCGTCGCAAACACTTCTCTGTTTGCCAGGAGAGGGGAAAGGGCACTTCCCTCTAGTGGAGAAGGCCCTGAGCCCCTTTTTCTAAAGGCTTTTATTGAAAAGGTTATATACAGTGGGCTAGGTAACAGGAATGTGCAGGTGATTTTAGTATATCAATATGTTAATGTTTACAGAGAATAGATGATGTTTTGAAGAAAACAAAGAGCAGGAACACACCAATTTACATGGGTCCGAGAGGAGACTAGTAAACATGAAAGCGCCAAAGGTTTAGGGTTAGAGTCTGTAAATAATGTAAATTTGTTTCCCAGCATGAGTTGGCTCTCATAGCTTTTGAGTGAGAAACAAAGCCTGCTTTACAGAATTTACTTCTAGGCCTGATTTCCCCCGGGAGCCACCAGGTCCAGTTTAGGGCTGTCTCCAGTATTGTTTCCAACCTGAGCCAGGCGAGGGGCGGGAGCTGCCAGGAGACAAGGAGACTTCTTTCAGGTAGAATGAGGGCCCTGGCCATGTCCAAGCCGAGCCAAGGGGTGCGGGTCTGTTTGCCCTTTTTCCATGTCTCCCAGGTTCTTGTCCTGCTGCCGATTTCGGCTGTGCCTGACTTAGGTCGTCCCCTTCCTCGAGGGATCTTACCCGTCATTGATTACCAGCCATCACAGGGCCAAGCAGGGTGATGTGAGGGAGGCAGGGGCTGCGCCCCTGCCAGGGGGACAGGTTTCATCTCCTCAGTGGCCTGTTTTCCCAAGGCCTCCTTGATTATTTCCAGCCTTGGGACCTTCTGGCCTGTTGGTGGGGCTACAGTTCCTGAAACCAGACAGCGTGTTTCTCAACAGTGATCTTGGAATTTTCCAAGAGAATCCACTTCTGGGCAGTGCTTCTGGGTGCAGCCCCCCTGGCTGGGAATGGGGAGAGCGCCCCATCCATGACAACCCCGCACAGGCTCTGCGGGGTTCAGTGAACCTCCAGGCACCATTCAAAGAGTTCCTCCCTGACTCTCCTATAAACGTGGTGCCATCCCCCTCACACTCCTACTGTTACTTTCCTTATGTTTCCTTGTAATTCTTATATCTATCCAATAACATATCTGTTTACTTGTTTGCTGTCCCTCTCAATAGAAGATAAGCTCTATGAGGGTAGGTCTTTGTCGGTTTTACACATCACCATTTTCTTAGCATCTTACAGTACCTGATTCATAGAGAGTGCTCCATGCATGTTCATTGGGTGATGGATGGATGGATGAGCAGAGGAATGGGTAGATTGATGGACGATGGACAGTTGGATGGGTGAGTGGTTGGATGGGTGGGTGAATGCACAGGTGGGTAGATGGGTAACAAAGGGCTGGCTGGCGGGCTGGCTGGCTGGCTGGCTGGGGTAAGTGGGTTGGTGGATGGATGAATTCCATCATGGGCTTCTGAGATTGATGCACTACTGGTTCTCAGACCTTTTCTAAATACTTTAATGGAGCTTTATCTGTAATTGAGTCCTCCCCACCTCCCCAAGGAAAACCAATTTCAGTTCAATAACACCTCTATCATACAGTAATTTTCCAGGAGATGGGGGATTATAGCTTGTAAAAAGCCTCCCAAGTGGTTTTGACATTTTCCTTCTTCCATAGAGAATTACTATATTAGAGAGTTCTTCTAAAAATATATTTAACTGAAATCTGTACTTCCATCCTAGACATGTGCAAAGAAGTCTTAATTATTTTTTCACACGAAAACTCATCAGTTGAGGACAGTTGCTGTGGCGTTTCATCCTCACCCCCGCCCTCTGCATCTCTTCATCGCTAGGAAGCTACCCCTGGTTGTCGGTCCATGCTTCTTGACCTTTCTGGTTGCTGTCATGGGAACATGTCCAGTTTTTTTCTACCTACATCTCTAAATGTGCTTTCCCAGAGTGGATCCAGTGCCTCAGAGGGAAAGCGGGATTACCTGTTCTTGTTCCAGAACAGGATTCCTCGGCCTGGCGAATCCTGATCGCGTGCTCTGGAGCTCATACATACTGCACATGTTCAGCTCCAGAATTCTGCTTCAGTAGTTTTAGGGCAGCTCCTAGGAATGTGTGTTTTTTAGAAGTTCCTCGGAAAAATCTCTTAAGAATCAGTTGTGTAGGTTCTCTATTCTGAGATTACTACAATGGTTTAGTGGTCTCTTTGGTAATTTCTTTGAGTATTTGTATAGTCACTGTATAGAATATTGTGTGTATATTTGCACAGAGTGGGGAGAAGGAGCTGGGAGGTGGAGTTGGTCTTGAGTCCCAATGGAAATGATAGTTTGAACTCAGACAATGTAGAAGCCCCAGTGTAAGATCCGGGCAAACACGGAGGATTGAATGTGTGTTAGTTTTCTGTGGCCACTATAACAGTCACCACAAACCTAACGTTTTTTAAAAATTACTTTTTATTATTGATATTATTGCAGATGTCCCCATCCCCCGCCCTGGTTGCGGTCCCCCGCCCCTCCCCCCTGGCCACCGCCACCCGCCTGCCTGTGTCTGTGGGCCATGGACGGGTGCTCTTCGACTGATCCCGCCCCCTCTTTCACCCAGTCCCCCTCCCCCCGCCGACAGCAGTCAGTCTGTTCCGTGTGTCCAGGCCTCTGTTTATACTTGGTCAGTCACTTTATTTTACTAAATTTGCAGATATAAGTGATGCCATATGGTGTTTCTCTTTCTCAAACCTAATGTCTTAAAACACTGCACCTTTATGTTCTTACAGTTTTGTAGGTGAGAAACTGGACATGGGCTTTACCGTGGGCGGGGCCGGTGTGTCCTCGCTCGCCCAGCGGGGGCGGGTGCCCCCCCCCGACCCCTTCCCCAGCCTGCAGCCTCCTTGGGCCCACGCCTTCCGCTCTGGCCGCACTCGGGAGGGGGCCCGAGGGATCGCAGGGGCCCGCCTAGGCCATCAAGAGGGCTCCCTCTGTCCAGGCCGTTAACTTAATCACATCGGCAAAGTCCCTTGTGCCACGTAAGGTGGCATTTAACATGTTACCAGGGTTAAAACATGGATGTCTTGGCCCTGGAGGAGCAAGAATGATTTTAGACTCTCCTTCCTGGCGGTGGGGCTCTGATGTGGCCCCCCGTCCAGAGCTGGGCGGGGCGTGTGCGTCTGCCCACAGAAGGTCTGAGCACCTGCGCCTGGGCCCGGGCCAGACTCACTGGGACAGTAGATTTCATACCTTTTCTATGGCCTCTCTTCTTTTCTCTCTTTATAATTATCTGCAATGTCATGGTTATTGCTTACTTTTTAGAGGCTTATGTAGTCTGATTATTGTTTACAGTCATAGAGTTGAGTAACTTTTAATCTTCCAGTGCTCTTTATTTGCAGTGTTTCATTTTCTGGTAAAATACTTTTAAACCTATAAAATTAAAATGCTACATAATATGGGCATGCCTCTCAATATTGTGATTCATCTTGTTACTATGACCACTCAAACCAGAAATCAGAGTGTCACACTGGACTGCAAACTAATATAGTAACAGAATAATCAGTAGCCATGTAGACTTCTAGTTACAATATGTTGATGCCTGTTATCAGCCAGGCACCGTTCTGGAGAACTGATCTCATTGGATCCCTGGAGACACAGTCGTGACGGAGTTGTCACCCCAGTTTTATAGACGGGAACCGAACTTGGGTGCTATTAAGCAGTTTGCTCCAGCTCACGCAGAGCCAGGCTTTACACCCTGCTTTGACTCCACAGCTCTCGCTTGTCTGACGGCAGATTCCCGTTGTCCGTGTCGAATAAGCAGGTCTCACAGTGCCTGCTTTAGTTGCCTCTCATCATTCCAGAGGCATGTTTTGAAGCAGAAGCTGAGTAGTTCATAAAGCACAAACCACTTTTCCTAAGCATGATACACGTTTCGCACAACATGGCCCTTCCTGTGTTTCAGCCACACACAGCACCCTGGCCTGCCTGAGTGGGGAGTTCCGGTGCGAGGACAGCGAGGCCTGCATCCTGCTCTCGGAACGCTGCGACGGCTTCCTGGACTGCTCCGACGAGAGCGACGAGCGGGCCTGCAGCGGTGAGCGCCGTGTCCCCGGGGCGTGTCCTCTAGGGAGAGCCTTCTGGGCTTTGTCTTAATCGGAAAATGAAAAAGATTTTTTCCCCACTTTGGAGTACCAAGTGAGGGGAAACTTGTCCTGCTTCTGATACAGTTTTTAGCTAATCTCATCCATTAGGAAAATGCTGGTCTGAGGTTTGTTTTCCATGGACTGTCTGCATCTTGTTGACGCACCTTGCTCTCTCAGAAGCCCGTGCCTCGGGATTTGTGATGGCGTTAACACAGTCCTTCTCTCTGGAGTGAGTTTAGAGCCTGTCTTAGTCTGTCGGGGCACTACAGCAGAGTGCTGCAGACTGGGTGCTTCCCAAGCAGCAAATATTTATTGCTTAGAGTTTGGAGGCTGGGCTATCCAAGGTCAAGGCACCTGCAGACTCGGTGTCTGGTGCGGTCCTGTTGCCTGGTTCTCACTATGCCCTCATATGGTGGAAGTGATGAGGGAGCTCTTTGGGGTCCTCTGTGAAGATGCAAATCTCATTTAGGGGCTACGACTTCATGATCTAATCTCTTCCCAGAGACTCACCTCCGAACCATCACATTATGGGGGTTAGGTTTCAGCGTATGCCTTTTGAGGGAGGCAGACATTTGGTCTTTAGCAGTACTAGATCCGACTGTGACATTGGCCGTGTACTTAGAACAGCTTAAAATGAACGTAGACAAGGAGGTGAAATGCAAGGAAAAATTACTGCTGGAAATTAAGGCGACCTTGGGGAAGGTTGTGTAGGAAGGTTTCAGCTCTGTTTCCTTGGATGTCTTTTAAGATGACGATAGGGCCTGACAATCTGGGTCAGGGTTTGTCTCCCCAAAATCCAGGGACCTCTCGCCTCTTCTGAAATCCAAGAGTTTGTAAGATATCTCTCCTTGTCTCCCCTTTATCTCTCTAGATGAATTAACTGTGTACAAAGTCCAAAATCTTCAGTGGACAGCTGACTTCTCTGGGGAAGTAACGCTGACCTGGATGCGGCCCAAGAAGATGCCTGCTGCTTCCTGCGTCTATAACGTCTACTACAGGTGGGTCCCTTCTCTGCTGGGAGAAACCCGTATCCTCACGGCCGCGGGGTGTTTCGTAAACTCCTGCGATATTCGTGGAGTGGCTCTTTATCAGTGGCACCGGCACTCGGCCACCCCGTGCTTCACGTGGCCGTGTCTTTCTTTCCTTGGCCAGGGTGGCTGGCGAGAGCATGTGGAAGACTCTGGAGACCCACAGCAGCAAAACAAACACGATGCTGAGAGTGTTGAAGCCAGACACCACCTATCAGGTGAAAGTCCAGGTCCAGTGTCTGAGCAAGGTGCACAACACCAACGAGTTCGTGACTCTGAGGACCCCAGAGGGGTGTAAGTGTTATGCATTATTTTTATGACACATAAAGACCTTATGTGGGATTTTCAAAGAGTTTTCCAGGAATGCTCAGCAGTGTAGGAACATAATCAGTGTGCCACATGTGTGCAGAAGTGTTGTGGCTAAGTTTCATGGTTCTGCCCATGTTGTTGAACATTTATTCTTACAAGATCACATAACATTCTTGTTGCTTAAGAAGGTGTTTGCAGATTCTATCCACCATTGCCACTTTTGCATGTTTTATCTAGTCTCTGTCTCTAGGTATTTCCTAGTACCTTGTACTTAAAAGCTCAGCATCATTAAAATAAGAGGCATGTCAGATGTATCATGGCGGCATCTAAAACTTTTTAAACTTTTAAAACTATTGGCCAAAACTCTTGTGTCCCAGGGAGTCCCCCGTTACCACGGTTTTGCGAGCTCTTCATGTGCGACTGCCATGAGTGAGGCCTGTGTGCTATGAGTTTATGAAGTTGACGTGTTAAGTAGAGCCCTGGGGTGTTGAATAGTTTACAGAAAACCACAGGGGAGTTGAAATGGAGAAGTTTCCAGAGCCTGGAAGAGGTCCACGCATGCTTCAAGGGGTCACGCGGGGCGGTCACGGCAGCGTGCCAGCAGAGAACGCAGCAGGAACTTTATCAGGGTTCTTAGGTGGAGGTTCTCGGGCTAAGATTGGCGTGGTTCAATCCAAACCCAAAAGAGGGGGTTCTGGTAAGCTTTGCTGGGGTCTTACAGAGAGGTTTGTGATGGGAAGGCCCTGGAAGGCAGGGTGTTACCAAACGGAAAGGAGGGTCCAGTTGCCCACCGCCACCCATTAGGCTAGTTCTGGAGGCAGAGGTTTGGTGGGAAAAGGGAGCCTAGGGCCACTGCCAACCGCTGCAGCCATGTGGAGGCTCTCGTGGGGGGCCCAAGGCCTGGTGCCCCGCGCCCAGCCACACAGCTGCCAGGGCCCGGCAGGCCCCGCAGCACTTGGGCCCGCATGTCCGTGCCGTGCATCCCAGGGGAAGCAGCAAGTGTCTGCCCTGAGATTTAAACTCTATTTAGATGTCCTGGCCCACAGGTCCATGTGCTCTGGACGGGTTCAGCTCCCCCAGCTGCCCCTGTCCTTTACCCAGGCAGGCCAGCACCTCCCCCACCGCCATGTGGACCGTGCCACTACATCCCATGGTTTCCCCTTCAGTCAGGAACCGGAAGAGGGTAGGAGGGCTTTTCCCTTTGTCACTGTCTGGCCTCGCAGACTCTGCCCAGTGACTTCCTCCAGCCCTGTCTGTGCCCTGGGGGCAGGGAATCTGTCCTGCTGCACTGCCCTGGTTTGGTTACGAGGAAGAGGAGCGGGGCTGGCCTCGGGCAGCCTTCTCCTACGGCCCCTCCCTCCCTCCAGGGTCTGGTCTGGCCAGGTCTCCCTGTATCAAGGGGAGACTGTTTACCATAGCGATTGTTGGAGGCCCAGGGCCCGTGGAGACCCAGCGTGTCCCAGTCACTCCACCCTGCAGCCCTGGTGGGTGCAAAGGTCTCAAAGACTTGACTGCGTCGTGACCTGCTGCACACCTTGCATTCTGGCAGAGGGGAAAGTTTCTCAGTGTGAACGCCACCAACAGCCCTTTCTAGGAGATAAGCAAGAGTGCCAGCCCCAGGGCCTTTCTTGTCTGTGTTTTAAGCTTGGAAATTCCTCCAGTTGACCAGCATGCAGATGGGTTTTAATCGCAGTGAACTCTCTTCTAGTGCCAGATGCCCCTCGAAATCTCCAGCTGTCGCTCCCCAGGGAAGCAGAAGGTGTGATTGTGGGCCACTGGACTCCTCCCAGCCACACCCACGGCCTCATTCGGGAATACATCGTGAGTGTCTTCCAGGCGTGGGCCCTGTGGGTTGGAGGGCGGAGCCGATTTCGGGTCTGCCCTGGAGCAGAGGCATGCTCTGTGTGACTAGGATTTGAGTTGTAAATAGTGATCCATCTCTTGGAGCATTTTGCACCCCTGCTTCCTCGTTCTCCTCTGATCTCCTCATAAGGCATGAGGATGCCCCAGACCTTTGGTTGCCTTTTACTAAAACTGTTTCCTCCTCACTTTAGGTAGAATACAGCAGGAGTGGTTCCAGGATGTGGGCCTCCCAGAGGGCTGCTAGTAACTCCACAGAAATAACGAACTTACTGGTCAACGCTCAGTACACTGTCCGAGTGAGTCTTCCGCCTGTCTCTACGTCGTCTCGGTTGTAGAATGTGGGGAGGCGGGTGCTGCTTCCTGAGAACTCCCTGCCTACCTTTACATGATGCATATTAGCAACATGCTTAATACGCAGCCCCTTGCCCTGGGGGGTGATTGTTTTTTTTCAGTCTCTTAAACCACTGTCACAGAGGACTTTCCTCAAATAACTGAGGGTTTTGGCAATGCTGCTTTGCCTTCCTTTTGCCCAGGTGTTTGGCTAACTTTCCAGCTCCTATGCTTTTGCAGCGACCTCTTTTCTCCTCCTCTGTGGCTGCAGGGTGATGCAGCACTACAAGTGGCATTTATAAACCTATACTGTGAGGTTCCTGTAAAATATATTGTTGCCCTTTTGAGCATAGAAGACATAGATTTTGTGCAAACATGTTTGTTGAGAGCATGAAGTGCATGCATAGGTCGCCTTGCACTGGTGAGCTCCTCAGTGCCCTTTTCCATGTGTGTGTATAGTTATGAGTGTATGTGTATATGGACTCACATACATGCAGCCCCCTGCTCTTTAGAAAAACCCAGACGCTCCAGAGTCTCGGCGCCAGCTCCATTCCCTGCACCCAGCTGCCTTCTCTGTGCCTCTCTCCCTGTCTCCTTTCAGTTGCTGGGGCCTCTGACTACCCTGCATCCCTCTGCGTAGACGTGTGTGCACCCCGTGGTCAAAGTCTCCCTCCTTTAGCTCACTTGGAGCGCTTGCCGGTGGTGTGCTGCCTTTATTCCGCACTAATTCATACTCTGGTTTGAAAAGGTGGCTGCAGTGACGAGTCGTGGAATAGGAAACTGGAGTGACGCTAAGTCCATTACCACCACAAAAGGAAAAGGTAAGCGATCCGCGTTTGCAGGTTCAGCGAGGAGAGCAGCCCTGGGGAAGCACCTCCCAGTGTGACTGGAAGGTGCAGGCGCACAGACCAGGAACCCTCACACGGCCCTTTCCCCAGACACGTGCTTTTCTGGGTGTCTTCCCGAGCCATGGGTGCAGTCTTTCTGGGTGACTATTGAATTATTCTTCCTCCTAGAACTGAGCATTTCCCTTTTTTTAAAGATGTTAAAAATTTACTTACTTTTAGAGAGAGGGGAAGGGAGGGAGCAAGAGAGGAAGGGAAACATTGGCTAGTTACCTCGCATAGGTGCCCCAGCTGGGGACTGGACCCACAACCCAGGCATGTGCCCTGACCAGGAATCAAACTGGTGACCTTTTGCTTTGTGGGACAACGCCCAACCCACTCAGCCACACCAGTCAGGGCAGAACTGAGCCCTATCATGCAAACATGCAAAGGGATTTCGAGGGCCATCATCCCTAGCCCTTTGTGCTTGTGCACAACATCCAAAAGAGAAGGTGTCCTTTCCTTCTGGTACAGACGCGTGCTGGCCCGCGGTGCTTTCAGTAGAGCACCGTGCGACGCTCGCCGCGTCTCCCAGAGGCAGCGACACAAGATGTGCAGGGGTAGTTTCTTGCACTGGGCCTGACAGGACGGTAGCGTCCTGAGTGACAGGAAAGAGCTGCTGCCAAGGACCAGGTACCCCAGGGTGTCTTCTGCTTTGCATACGTCAGCTCTCGTGTGCAGCCTGAGGTTGAACCCTGAGAACAACTCTAAGAACAGATAAGGAACTGCCAAGACGTTACATCAGTTATCACAGTCAGCCAGTAACAGCCGCGTAGAAGCCTGATCCGCCTGATGCCCAGGCCTGTGCCCTTCGCCACCGCGAGCCCTGCCAGCCGGCCAGGATGTGTGCCTGCGGCCACGGTGTGGCCTGATGTGCTGGGCGGCGGGCTCGTCACCTGGTATGTGCGCTTCTGGAGGGCAGAGACCTGGCCTGGTTTCCTCTGCTCTGTCGCTGGCACCAAATACGAACCAATGGAATAGTTGATGAATGAGTGAATTGAAGCAACTAAATGAAAGTTCTCACACACTTTGGGAGACAGACCACATCTTACCTGCCTGAGTGGTTTTCACTCTCTTAGCCTTGGCACTGGGTGCTTTTGTTTCTGGATTGTGGGTATTAAAGTCAAGAGGGTGGCACAGAATGTGATTGGGTATTTTGCTTTAACCTGAGTCTGAAAAATAGGCCCTGGGTCTGGAAGGATCACTGTCTGGCAGCCTCTGAAATGTGGGGGGGTGGGGGGGTGGGGGGTGGGATCAGGGCAGGAGGCAGCCACGTTTCATGACGCTGTCCAGTCTTTGGAAGCGGGGTGCTTGTGTGCTTGTGGGAATTAGGAAAGGGGTGCTGAATTCCCACCACTCGAGATTTCTGTTGTGATATCATTTCCTTCTCCAAAATCAGGGTCAGAATATACTGACGGTGCATACTGAAAAGAAGGGACTTCAGAAGGCCAATAAAAAACACATACCTTGAACTTCCTAGGCGTAACTCACACCTGCCTTCCATAATATCAGTGAGTGGCTGCTTCTCTGACATGATTCCGATGACTCTTCGCTCCGGGCACATGTTCGGTTGGGGTGTATGCAGGGCGACTGTGCGCTGAGTCAGGCGGTACCTGTTGTGAGGTCTGTGACCTCGTACCCTAGTCGTGTTAAGAAGATGGAGGAGAAGAATAGCAGTGGCATCAACCAGAAGCACGACATTAGTGAATGCAGTGGATTAGTAACAACAATGAGAAAGGCTCCTGGTTAGCCAGCACTTTTAAAAATTTATTTATTTTAGAGAGGGAGAAGGCAAGGGAGAGAAAGATCAATGTAGAGAGAAACATCCACCAGTTGCCTTTCACACATGCCCCAGCTGGGGACCGAACCCACAACCTGAGCATGTGCCCTGACCAGGAATCAAACCGGCAACGTTTTGCTCTGCAGGATGATACTCAACGCACTGGGCCACACTGGTCAGGTAGCCGAGCACTTTTGTGACTAAGCACCATGTTTGTTATTTTACATGAATTGATCTCTCAATTCTTAATCAGTCCCACAGGTATTCTTTTTTTCTTTTTCTTTTTTTCCTATCCCTGTTCAAGTACAGTTGTTTCCATTCTCCCATCACAACTTTTACCGCCCCACCCTCAACCCTACCCCCCTTTGTGTTTGTCCGTGGGTCCTTTACGCATGTTCCTTCAGACCCTTCTCCAAGGAGGACATACTCAAGGCCCAGAGACATGAAAAGATGCTCAGCATCACTCTCCATCAGAGAGATGCAAATTAAAACCACAAGGAGATATCACCTCACACCTGCCTAAATGGTTATCATTAATAAATCAACAAACTGCAAGTGCTGGCAAGGATATGTAGAAAAGAGAACCCTGATGCACTGTAGGTGGGAATGCAGACTGGTGCAGCCACTGTGGAAAACAGTGTGGAGTTTCCTCAAAAGCTAAAAATGGAACTGCCTTTTGACACAGCGATTCCACTGCTGGGATTACACCCTAAGAACCTACAAGAATCTTTAAGCTCAGTCTGTAGCTGAGGAAACATGTTTGGAAGGGACTGTGACCCGGCCCCAGTCACATGATTATTACTCAGGTCAGCTTTAAGCAGCACCTGCACTAGTTTGCTCTGAGCTGGCTGCCTGAAATGCCTGGTATTCCTTTTTGCTCTGGTTACTGTGTTTCCCTGAAGCCCAGTTTTATTACATGGTTGGTTATCTGGAGGAATTCCTCCTGATTCTGACACATCTCTCGGCCACCGAGTTTTATCCACTCCTTTGAGTCTCTCTTGCCTTGCCTGTGCAAGAGGCCTTCATGCTGAGAGTCTAATGTGCACGTTGTCCTTTAGACATTATCTCCTGAGAGCGTTTATCCCATCGAGCCCGTTTCGATTTTGCACGGCAGTGCTGTGCTGACCTCGGTGGGCAGACCTGCGCCGGGCCAGCAGCACACTGGTCACGGGGGCTGAGAGCTGGCCTTTCTCTCTGCTGCCCACCCCCCATCGTCCCCTTGCCCTCTCTCCAGATGCTGGTGGCTGTCACAGGGGGGACTTGACTGGACAGGGAGAGAAAGGGACCTTTAGTTGAGTGCTAGATGCTTCTCATCCCTCCTCCAGGGAACTTTCCCAGCGCTCTCCAGTGCAGACTGCACCTTCAGGCTCAGCGAAGATAAATACTTGCCCCAGGGACCCACTCGTTTGCATCTAAACAGGAATTTGAACTCAGGGGTGCCAGACACTAGACTCTGGTTTTCCCACTTGCAGTGCACACCTTTACGTTTGTGACTTGCTATGCATCCTGCTGCTGTGCTTCCTGGAGGACTTGAGGCCCTGGGTCTCTTAGTGCCAGGAATGAGGGTGCTTACCACACGCTCCGCCCGGGACAGAACCGGGGCGTTTCGAACCCGTAAGTGATGGAACGTCACAGCCTGACTTTCCTGCCAGGATAGCTGTGTGCTCACCAGGCACCTGTGGGCCCACCTGCAGCTTCGGGAATGCAGAGGTGCAGGAGACAGACGAGTGACAGCAGCCAAAGAAAAGCCCTCCCTTACGCACTGAAGGATCGCACTCTCGTCTCTCCCGGTGGGAGCTGCTGAGCCCCGCCCCCTCCCTTTCATCAGGGCGTTTTGCTCACGGAAGTCCTTCTCCTTTTCAGTGATCCCACCACCGGATATCCACATTGACAGCTGTGGGGACACCTCGCTAAGCTTCACCCTGACCATGGAGACGGACATCAAGGTAGCGTTGACATTTCAAACAGCCGTTGGGCGGGGCCTTGCTGTGTGGGAACGGGCACAGCAGGGTCCTGAGAGGCCCCAGGGCGGGGCGGCCCCTCCCCAGACGGGCAGCGCCAGTCTTCACAGGCACGCACTCCACCTCCGCCTGGTGCTTTGCTTTTTTAACCACGTAATTAAATGGTTCACAGCCAGAGTGTGGATCAGGAGGTGGTGTGAACGGAGTGCGTGTGCCCTGTGATTTTCAGCTTTATTGGATTTCCTGGTGCTAAGTGCTAATGCAGAGGCTCCCACAGCGGAGGAGTCTTGGGAGGAGTCTTGTGAGAGACAGAGTCAGACACTTGGGATGCAGCCGCTCAGGCCCACGAGCGTCTCCCGCCGCCGCCACCCCCGCCCCTCCCCCCAGCCCTCTGCAGAGCCAGCTGCACCACCGCTCTCTGGGCTCCCAGCTTTCTCACGCTGGCGCTACTGCGCGCAGTGTCCTTTCTCATCCAAGTCCTTCGTGGCCTCCCTGCCTGTAGAGTTTGGGGGGGCACAGCCCTGTGAGTCCTTGGGCCATTTACTGAACTGCCCTTTGGGGTCATGCCTTTGGCTTTAGAGATAGTTGATGCCAGAACTGGCCTTATGGGGACCAGGTCTGTCGGGTCTCTGGCCCTGAGAACCTCTTATTGGCTGCCCCATGTTTAATGACCCTGCGATCAAACCCGTCCGTGAGCTCGGGACCTGGGAAAGGCAGCCGCCCCTGATGCGTGGGTGCATTTGCTCCTGTTCGACAGCGAGGGCTGCCTCACTGTCCCCCTTGGAACTGGCGTATCGGCCTTGACAGCCAAGACTGCCTGAGCTGAGATCTGCCTTTATTAATGGGTTCTTATCCTTTTATTCTATATTAATTTTTTGTTTCATTGAATGTGTATTTCATAAATGGTATCACATTTGTCTTTAGAAGTAGGTGGAGTATCACTAAACATTCAGTGATAGCCCAAATGGAACAACTGGTGTAAAGATAAAAAAAAACAAAAAACCCGCCCGTCCCTTGTAAGAGACGGGGAAGCTGGGGACCCCACAGAGGGTGCCCGTGTGTCTGGAGTGTCCTGTGACTGCTCTGCTCGTCATCTGTGTTTTGGCTCCTGGCAGGTGAATGGCTATGTGGTGAACCTCTTTTGGGCATTTGACACCCACAAGCAAGAGAAGAGAACTTTGAACTTTCGAGGGAGCATCTTGTCACACAAAGGTAACACCTGGGAGCTTGTCTGTGGGACAGGAAAGAGCAGGCTAGACCCGTGGTTTTTGGCGCTGGAAGTAGGGGTTGTCTGTGTGCGTGGGTGTGTGTGGAGGGCTTCTTGGGCCGCCATTTGGGGAGCAGAGTGAGGAGACTGAATGGCTCCTGACTCCAGGGAAGAGGGGTCCCGAAGCCCCCATCTAACCTGACGGCTCTTAGTGGAAGTTGGAGACTTCCAAGGAAGAAGAAACTGGAAAGGAGACAGATTAGCCCTATGCGGGTGGTTTTGGAGTTCCGAAAGAAAGGGTCCCCAGAGCTAGCTGGCTGCCCCCCGTTCCGCGGCGGCGCGCTCCTCCTCGTTGGACAGGAGGCGCGGGGCCTGCACGCGGCTGGTGTTCAGTCGGCGTCAGCGAGGGGACAGACCACAAGCTGAGCGAGGCCCCCTGTGTGTGCGAGCACACTGCGTCTCCTTTAAGACTCTCATACCTGAAAATGGGCGTAAGGAAGGATTTAATTTATTTCAGAGCTAATTTAATTTAATTTACTTCCATGGCGAAGGCTACAGCGAACAACACGGCAGCGTCTTCCTTTCCCCCTCTGACCTGTTTGCAAAGTGCTTTCGGTCATGTTTTATTCCTGATGGGGGATGAGTCGTCATCTTTCTGTATTGGTGGAAAATGAAGGTCCCCCAGGGAGGTTGCGCAGGAATAGAGACAGCACCGGGCGCGCACCGTGGGCTAGCTTTGACCGGGGCACCCAGAGTGTGCCCTGTCACCCAGCCCAGCAGTGAGTCTGTGGGATGTGCTCATTTTACCGGTGAGGAAGCAAGGCTCAGAGATTAAGTAACCTCTCAGAAGAAGAAGGGAGGGCCAGGATTTGAACCCACATCTGTCTAATTCCAGAGCCTGTGATGTCATTGCCTCCGAGGGACGCCAGTGGCCATAGGCAGGGTCCAGAACGCGAGGCATGGCTGTTGTGTGCAGGGCTGGTCCTCGCAGGGCTGGCTGTGTGTGAGGGCTGGCGCTTTCCTCACAAACTTACTTTTTAAACCTCCCCCATGGCCAACTTCAAAAGTTGCTATTATCTTTCCCTATCTTACAAACTAAAAAATAGACTTAGAGAGTTTGAGTACTTTAATCTCAGTGGTACAACTACAAGGTGTAGTCACACCTTAAACCCGAGGCCGTTCTGATTCCAAAGGCCACCCCGTTCTGATTCCAAAGGCCACCCCGTCGGATGTGCTTTGTTCACTGACCTTCTGCTTTGTAACAGCATTTTCACCAGTAGAAACAGGGCGTGTTTATTACAGAACATTTAGAAAACAAAAATGTGTAATAAAAATTTTAAATTTCACTTCCCAGGATAACCACTTTTAAATTACAGATATTTTCTAAATATTTTTCTCTTCATGCATCTTCTGTATCTTTTTTATGAAATCAAAATAAAATACTATCTGTAGTTTTATATCCTGCCTTTTTACATAACATGAAATTCTGAGAATTTTTTAGTCTCATTAAATAGTCTTGGAAACAACTTTTAGTGGCTCCATACCAGGTCAGGGAATAGGTGTGAAGTCTGTGGCATGTGCATTGTTTGGCCACCTCCCTGTCACCGGCAGGCAGATCGTGTGGTTTTTCTGCTGTAATACACACTGTATGGACATCTTGCTTGCACCAATTTGGGGTCCTTCTCTGATTTCCTGGGATAACCAGATTGAAGGTTATGTTACCTGCCATAGTCATTAATAAATAATTCTGAATGGTTCTGCAAAATAATGAAAGTACTTCAACACACAGGGCTCCCTTGAACTGAGAGATTATGTCTAAAATAAGGGCTTGTGTAAAGGGACCAAGTTCTTGCCTGACAGCCCCATGTCCTTGTTCTGTGCTCGCAGTTGGCAACCTGACAGCTCAGACGTCTTACGAGATTTCTGCCTGGGCCAAGACGGAGTTCGGGGATAGTCCTCTGGCATTTGAGCATGTCATGACCAAAGGAGTCCGCCCGCCCGCCCCTAGCCTCAAGGCCAAGGCCCTCAACCAGACTGCCGTGGAATGCACCTGGACCGGCCCCAGGGGCGTGGTGAGTCAGCCCGGAGGGCCCTGCCGAGTGCACGCGGACTCTCCCCAGAGCCCGGCCCCCGGGACCGCCCGGGCCTTCTCCTTTATTGCTGTTCCATCCCGTCCCACCAGATGCAGGCCGCCCTTCGTCCGTCCTGCTGGCCTTGCAGAGGCAGCGGACCCCCCAGCCCGGCGCCCCTTTCCCACTGCAGCCTGGCCTCTGAGGGACCCCGGGCTGTTTGCTGTTGTACAGAACGTGGGCGTGGCGAGGGTGCACAGCCCGATGCGTGGGGCGTGCCTCCGGTCGCGGGCATGCCGCCCAGCCAGCAGCGCCGACGGGGGCTCCAGCCCTTCCCGACTCCAGGGGCCGCCCCCACTCCCAGTTGCCTTCTGGGGCTGGTCCCATTCCTCCCAGGGCCCCACTGCACCTGTTTGCAGGCCTGTCTTTCTCTTTTGTCTTTGTATCTGCACTTTGATTCACTGCGATTAGGTTGTGTTTCTTTCTGACTCTGGTTTTTATTTCCTACTCCTCTCCAGCATGTTCCTTCCTTTGCTTTTAGGGGGTCTCCCCAAGGTTCTTGGCACTTCCCATCCCCCTCCTGCTTCCCCTCCCTGGAGTCCCTCCCTCCTCCTGCCCTGTAGCCAATCCCGTTCTCTCCTTCTTGATCTCCTTCTCCTGGGAGCTCCAGAAGTACTGGGAGCGGGTGCCTCACAGAGTAGTGTCTCATTAGCTACCACTTTATCCTATTTGATGGTTTCTGTCTGTTCTCTTAGCTCCTTGCCTAGTTTGTAAGTTCCCTGAAGGGAAAGATTGTTTTCCAGGGCTGCCAGATGGAAAAGGATGGAGAGCTCAGTCTATAGTTAGAACTTAGTGAGTCCTCAGTGACCGGCGAGGGAGGAAGTGGCATGTAACTTGTCATCTGAGGGTGTCCCCAGTGCAGGGCTGATTTGTGGGGAGTGAACCGGAGTTTGCAAGTAAGATGGGCCATAAAGATGGAAGGAGGTGCACGACTCACCGAGGGCCCACGGGCTGCCAGGCACTGTGCTCACGCTTCACCCACACCCTCCCATGTAACTCTGTCCCTCGCTCAGTGGGGGACAGGCTCCAGCGTCACCAGCAAGGGTGCCGTGGCTCAGGGGGAGTCACCGGCCAGGGGGAGGCTGGAGGCTGAGTTCCGCTCCTTGTGGCTCCAGAGCCCGTCCTGAGGCGGGACGGAGGTGGGATGCCCGGAAGGGCCGCCCCCAGGACTGCCTTTTCCCTCCGAAGTCGACACCGCTCCCAAAAGGGCCTTTCTCCCCCTGTACCCCCGCCCCGCCCCGCGAGGGCGCGGCCAGCTGCCGCCCAGCCCGACAGAGGAGGGCACAACGCAATGAGCTACCTGTGGATTCGGACCCTCCCCCGCTCGGTCCCTCAGCCTTGCAGAAAGCTACTCCTTGTGGCTTCCGCAGGGCGAGAGGTCCGGTGAACTTGCCTGTGGGTGGCTCTCACCTTCCTCCACTGTTGGGTTTGCCTTCCACCGTGACATCGACTTTCTCGTCACTCCCCGTGTTGGGGGGCCCTTCATGCACCCTGGCTCCCTTGGCTCTTGGATCCCTTTCCTGGCTCCGGGCCAGACCCACTCATGCCGTGGCGGCACGGGCTCCTGAGCTCAGGCCTGCTTGGGCCCTGAGCCTCTGCTCTGGCCGGGTCATCCTCGCTCCCTAAGAAGCAGGGCTCTGCGGAGGAGGGAGGGGGAGCGGGTGTCCGCGGGGCGGCTGCCAGCGTCTGCCCTGCTGCCCTCCCTCACAGGCTTGCGCAGGCTTGGGCACATCTGCTCGGTTTCCCACATTGGGGCTGCGCACTGGTAAGGTGTTACCCTTTATGGGGATCCCCTTCTTGTTCCTGGCTCCTTGTGTGGTCTTTTAGTGTAGCACCTAACTGTTCCATGTTTGCAGCGTGTTACTTATAATTGTTCCTCTTTTCCTTTTCTGTGGTCCCTGCCCAAACTTGAGGTCTTGAGGGCAGAGGCCACAGCCTGGCGCCCTCCGCAGGGGTGGGTGCCACCCTGGCCCAGTGTGCCCTCCCTGAGTGCTGATGAAGGGAAAACTAAATGAGGACTTTGCTTGCAGCGCTCTTGTCCTGGTTCCCAGGGTCTTAAATTAGGGACTTCAAGAGAATGAGGTCACTGGCCACTGAACTGACGTCCTGCTTTATTCTCTCCTCTTGCCAGGTTTACGGTATCTTCTATGCTACATCCTTTCTTGACCTCTATCGAAACCCACAGAGTGTGACAACGTCACTACACAACAAGACGGTCATCGTCAGCAGGGATGAGCAGTACTTGTTCTTGGTAAGTGCCCCATACCCGAAAGCCCAGAGGAGTTTCTCTTTTTAAGGGATGTATTTATTCCTGAGCTCTCAGCTCCGACCAGGGATCCAGGTGCTAGGGGGTGGGCTCCGGGGTCCGCGTCTGTGAGTGGAGGGTAGTCCCTCACCTGCACAGTGGCACGTGCTTGTCTGGTACAGTCACGGGCGCAGCCCCACCTGCCGTGGCTCCATGGTGGGCGGCTAAGGACTCAGCAAGGGCATCTCAGGACCCGGCGAGAGCCTCTGTCAAATTCTGTGTCTAGGAATTCACCCTGATGTTCCTACCATGTGTGCCAAAATACGTGGGAAAGATGTTGGGTATCCTGCTGCTTGTGATCGCAAAAGATTTGAAACCAATGTCCATCAAGAGAGGACTGGTTAAAAGTAGCGTAGGTTTCCCTACAAAGGACTGTAGGACGAGCATCCAAAAGAAAGACATGACAACTCTAAATGCGCCGATGCGGAAAAATTTCTAAGCTCTATTATTACGTGAAAAATTAAGAGCACAGTGTGTGTAATACTATTTTCATTTGTGAAACCACATACACACACATGCACCTATAGGTATGCATCTGTACAGATGCACACAGGACTACCCGTACTTACGTATGCATAAGACATTTCTAAGAGGAAATACAAAAACTGTTACCAGGGGCACCTCTGGGAAAACAAATTAGGAATCTAGGGTAGGTGGGGAATTATTTTATTTCTCTATTTTTTTATACCAATTGAATTTTAATTGTGTCCCTTGAAAAAAATGAGTCAGTGAACATGGCGTGAGTCCACGGGGCGTGTGTTTCAGGTCCGTGTGGTGGAGCCCTACGAGGGGCCGGCCTCCGACTACGTGGTGGTGCGGATGATCCCAGACAGCAGGCTCCCGCCCCGCCACCTGCATGCAGTTCGCACGGACAAGACCTCGGCTGTCATTAAGTGGGAGTCCCCTTACGACTCCCCCGACCAGGACTTGGTGAGTGGGCCCGTTGCCCCGGAACCCTTGCTTATTCTTAGTGTGATTTGGGGGCTGGGAGACAAGAGCCCTGTTCGGGGGCGAGAACCATAGGCCTGGAGATTGGAGCTCAGCATGAGGCCCCCCCTTTCTGTCTGGCCGAACATGGGGGGCCGTTGTAGGTGCCTCTCCTGAGCGGTCTCTTCCCCATTATTCCCAGCTGCAATATTGGTTTGTCCCTCCTTCTCTGCCTTCTCACAGTCCCTTCCCTGACCTTCCAAAATGGATTGGCCAACAAAGGCCTGCAGGCCAAATCAAGGCCGTCCCTGTGTTTGAAAAGAGTGTTGTTAAAACCAAGGTACACCCATCGTTCACTTCTTATCTGTGGCTGCCTTCATGTTGCAGATTGCAGAATAGAGTCCTGGTGGTAGAGACCAGCTGGCTTTCAAAGCCTAAAATAACTACGAACTGGACCCTTACATAAAAGTTGGCTGCCCCCCACCCCCGAAAGAAGAGGCAACTGGGCCGAGAGTGGCGCTGCCTTCCTCCGGCCCCGCCTGCCTCTCACTCTGCGCTGGCGCCCGCCCCGCCCCACCCCGCCCTTGTGGTCAGCGCCTGGGTGCTGAGATGCCTCTTGACTCTGAACATCTTCCTGAGGAGTGCCTGTCCCTCTCTCTCCCGTCCCCCCATATATGTACGAAGAGGCCCGGGGGAGAGCAAGCAAAGCCCTTTGTCCTTTGACTGCTTTCATTCATTATCTCCTCCGACAACAGCCCCAAGTGGTTGCAATAAAGAAGTTGAAGACTAAACTTAGGGATGTCCTGCCTGTTTCTATTTACCTGCTGATGCCACAATGAATATGGCTTTCCCTAGGGTTGTTTTTGGATTGAATCGGTCATTCTCTGTACAATTCTGGGAGTGAGTACTTGCTGTAAGATTGGCTCTAGCCACCTGAAGTCTCCCAAAGAGCACAGTCAGACTTTGGGGCTCAGATGTTGCTGCTGTGGGTCCCAACCCACTGATACCTTATGTTACCCACCCCTGACTGAAAGGAAGAAGAAATGCCACATTTCTGCTTACCTTTTTCTTGTCTCAGTTGTATGCAATTGCAGTCAAAGATCTAATAAGAAAGAGCGACAGGAGCTACAAAGTGAAATCCCAGAACAGTACTGTGGAGTACACCCTTAACAAGTTGGAGCCTGGAGGGAAGTACCACGTCGTCGTCCAGCTGGGGAACATGAGCAAAGAAGCCAGCATGAAGATCACCACCGGTGAGTAGGCTGCGGGAGGCCTGCTTGCACGGGAAGCGCCAGCGCCCGGTCACGTCCTTGCAGGCAGGGTGGGGCCCTCCTCGGCTGCAGTGAGCTGGCCAGGGCTCTGCGAGCAGGCCCGGCTGTCATTTTTCCTGTCCTCTGCCTCTCTGCATCTCCCCCATGCTAGCTGGTTTTGATAGTTGTAGGGAGGAAGCAGAGGCATGGCCGAGAGAGGTAGGAGCTAAGACGGAGTGTTGGCCAGGAAAGCCCAGCATTGCATCTGGGGACCTGGACAGAGCGTCGGGAGTCGCCCGTGGCCGCAGCGTGTGCCGCGGCGACAGGAGACCAGAGCCCGGGCACCAGGCTCGGGCACTTCGTACCCGCCCAGGGCTGCCTCTGTTCAGGCTCACGTTCAGAAAGCTGGTGACGATCTCAGTTGTGGGGACAGCGGCTGTGGCAGTCACGGAGGCCGTCGGCGTGAGCCGGCGGCCGGGCTGCACGCTGCTCGCGCCAGGGCCCTGCCTGGAGCGGGCCCTCGAGTCCCTCCCTGAGCTCTGGGCCCCTGGCTCCAGGGACAGGACGCAGGTGGGAAGCAGACAAAGTCCGGGTCCAGTTCCCTCTGTGCCTCCCTTTCTAGTCCCACCCGTTAGTTTCTGGCTCTCCTTGTGGCTAAGGGCTACTCAATTAGTGTCCAGATTTCTTGGCTAAAGGTATTATAACAGCAACAAAAGAAATGCCCGTTAAAAAGAGCCCACCACGTGCTAGGATCTCTCCCTAGCAGTGCACACGTTTTATTTCTTCCTTAAGGCAAGCCTTCAAGGAGAGTGCTGTTTAGCCTCCCTTTGGCAGGCAAGAAAACAGTGATTCCAGTGTGTAGCCACTAACTACATCCCATTTCATCTTTAATTTTCAGTTTCATTATCAGCACCTGATGCCTTAAAAATCATAACAGAAAATGACCATGTTCTTCTGTTTTGGAAAAGTCTTGCTTTGAAGGAAAAATATTTTGAAGAAAGCAGGGTGAGTTCCTCCCTCCTTCTCAGTGACTTTCAGAATCTGACTGAAATGCCACTTTAGAGATGAGCCCCTCAACAGCCTGGCAGAGAGCAAAGGAAAGAAGAGGCAAGGGAGGGAGCTTGAGAAGCAAAGCGCCACTTTCTGTGGGATTGCTAGTTAGTGAAATGTGGATACTGCCCAGTAAAGATGAGGGTCTTTGTACGAAGCATGTTTCAGGCCTGAACTTGCCTCCCCTGGAAGGCTGAGTCACGGGCTGGCACCCTTCCTTTGCTTCCGGAAGCTGGCCTGGGGCCCTGCCTTCCCCAAACACTCTTCTTATTGGTGGAAAATGAATTCTTGTGGTGTTGCCAGAAGAAGAATTTTCTGAGACCCGCATGGGAGGATGTGGCTCTGTGGTGTGGCTTATTGATGATGTAAATTCAAGGTTTCTCCCCTGGCTCCCCAGGGCCCCACCTCCGTCTGCCCTGCCAGGGAAGAAGTCCAGTCTTCTCTTCAGGAGGACCAGTGTCAAGGCCGGGGTCTGGAGTTTCTGCTCCGTGTTCAGGTCCAGCCCAGCCCAGCATCTGGCTGGGTGTGGTCCCCACACCGGCTGTTGCTGTGTGGCCCCGTGGCTATGGAGGGAGAGTGCACACGTGCACAGGACGAGGGCAGGTCACCCAGGCGAGCGAGAGAGAGAGAGAGAGAGAGAGAGAGAGAGAGCGCTCAGCCCTTTGGAGCCCAGGCCGTGCGCTGCAGGCCCGGCAGCTGCCAGGCCGCGGCCTGTGCTTCGGGGCTAGAGAGCGCGCGGACGGGCCGGGGGGGGCGAGGATGAGGACTGCCCCCTTCGTCGGGATTATAGATCCGAGTCTCAGAAAAGACCAGAGGCTTTCCCAGAATGACCAGTAAACTTCCCAAGCTTTCGCGGGCTTGGGATCGGGTCCGTCCCCCATTCAGGCTGACAGGCCGCTGTGGTCCAGCACCTCCTCCTGTGCCCTGCACGGGTCCCCTGTTAGACGGCGGAAGGGGGGAGTGTGCGTCCCTTTGGTGGAGCAGCACTGTGGTCCCCTGGGGTGAGAAGCTGTAGCTTCCTGGTGAAGCAAAGAGCCTCATGCTTCCCATTTTATTAAGCTCGGTGTCTGCAAGAACGTTCAGCGTCACTAGAGATCTGAACAACAAAGGTGTGGCGCTCGCACATTAAATTGACAGTGGTTTGGGAAAAGGGTATTACTGGTGTGAGCAGTAGTTGGGGAGATTAGTACTCCGGGGCTCTGAGTGGGTTCAACGTTCTGTAAGGCACTTCAGGAAGAGGCATCAAAAACATTAAAAGTGTTCACATCATTTGACCCAGCAGATCTTTCCTTTTACTCGAAGGGAGCAACGCATGTAAAGAACTTATATACAAGGCTCTTTGGGACGGTTTTATTTATGATAGCAACAAAGAGGAAACAACCTCAGTGCTCAGCAGAAGAGAACTGGTTGAGTAAATTATAGGTGGTTGATGTTTGTGTCACTTCAGTTTTTTCCTTTATACCTTTGGTATTTTGCAAACGTTGTACCCCAAATCTATGTGAGACAGGAGAAAAGAATGAACGCTGGTGTGTCCAGCAGGGCGTGGAGACAGGATCCCAGGCAGGCGGCCCTGGGAGAGCAGGGACCCCCCCGGGTGCAGAGGCCCAGCCCTGGGGTTGGCAGTGCAGGTCGGTGGTCCGTCCCGGGGCCCTGGCACGGTGCCGCGTGCCCTCCTGCACCCCGGGACAGACAAGCCAGTGCTGTGTGGACCACCGCGTGGGTCTCTTTGGTGGCGGTGTGGTAGGCGGTAGGGGGGTTGTCCCTGGGATGCCTGGGGGTTCGCAGAGACGGCCGGTGATGCACTCTGGTCCCTGCAGCAGGTGAGCCTGGGCTGTCCCAGAGCCGCTGTCCCAGAGCCGCCTCCCCAGCCAGGACTCCGGGCTCTGCCTGAGCCAGCCGAGCCCGGCGCGCTTCTGTCTCTCTCTCCTCCAGAGCCTGCCGAGGCAGTTTTTAATTTAAGGCCGGGCTCATCTGGGGCTGCCATCAGCTTGGAAGAGCCAGAAGGCAAGGGCGCTGGGCTGACAGTGGAGTTCCATGCGTTGTTGTGTGGAGAAACGTCCTGTCTTTCCTGATGGGAGTTCCTTTTTCTTGCCCCACTGCAGGAGTCCGACGCAGCTGGATTTGCTATTAGTCAAATCCCATTACAGCAGCTACCACTGAGCTGTCCAGATTCTTTGTGGCATTTAATACCGCTTGAGACCAGTGTACTGCCAGCGAGAACTGGGAATGTGTGCTGAAATATGTGTTAACGTGGCTTTTGTCAGGGCTGCACTTTCTGCTCCTTCTGGGAGCTCACAGGGGGTGCGGTAGTTAGGTGAGAGGGTTGGGAAGGAACGCGCCAGTCCTTGCGAGCCAGCGTCTCTGCGGCAGGGTAAAAGGACCTCGTGAGAGGCCCGTGGTGCTTGATGCCTACACAGGCTTGCAGTCAGGAGTTTGCGGGGACGGGGAAGCGGGCCCAGAAGCTGCCGGGTCCCTTCCTCCGCCTCCTGAGAGACCTCGCCGTGTTTGCTTCCAGGGCTACGAGGTGCGCATGTTGGACAGCGGCATGAATATCTCAGCGTACCTTGGGAACACTACTGACAACTTCTTTAAAGTTTCCAACCTGAAGTCAGGCCACAATTACACCTTCACTGTCCAAGCAAGCTGCCTGGTTGGCGGCCAGATCTGCGGGGAGCCCGCTGTGCTGCTGTACGACGACACGGCGCCTGGTACGTGGGCGTGGCCGCCCGTCTCCGGCCGGGTGTCTCGGGGGACGCGTTGGAGATGTGGCGCAGCTTGGCGCAAATGTGTGTCTCTAAAATGCATCTAAAATAATTCAGTTCAAAAGAAAATCATGCAGGTATCAGTTTAATCAGGCACCGATTTCTTTTGAGTCCTCCCTGAGGCAGGCATGGCGCGGGGAGACGAGCTGCGCGGTGAGCGTGCCCCGAAGGGGAAGCCCGAGGCAGGGAAGGCTGGCGGGCGCTGTTCAAACGGAAGTTCTGTGTGGGAAACACTGGGTCAATAAGAATTCTGTGGTTTTGTTTTTGAGGACTTTTCAGAGCCTTCAATATGCTCATATCCCCTGATTCTCCAAGGTAGTAAATAATTTCCTAGTCATGGGTAGCTGGTTTTACAGCCTTCCTCTGCTTTTTAGCTGGGAATCTGGATTTGGCCTGGGATCTTTCTTAGGGACACTTGCGGATGCCCCTGTGCGGTCATGCCGATGGCAGGGGAGGGGAGCCTTCCATTCACGCAGAAATTCTGCTTATGTTGTAGCTCTTGGCCAGGATTTCAACAAATGTTCTGCCACTGACCTTTTTAGTTTCACTCACTGCAAGCCAAGACGTAACCGGTGCTCAAGCCCAAACCCTGGGTCGGACTTGCGTGCTGCGCCGTGCCCTGTGCGCAGGTGCCGTCGGGGGGTCCTTGCCCTCGGCACTGCCCTGAAGACGGGTTGCCTAGCACAGCACATCCCTTCAGAGGATCATAGACATTAGCGGTTCTTGGGAGGTCCCACAGAAAACGGACAACAAAGCTCTTGTGAACCTGGTGCATCCTAAGTAGGGGCTCCCTTTTAAGGGAAGCCAATCAGCAACCACTAAGCAGACTTTGAGGAAAACTGCTGTGAGGACGGTGGCCAGCAGCCTCTGTGAAACCAGGATCATCAGACAGAGGGCGCCCCTGGTTCTGCATCTCCCCTGCGGGGCGTGGCCGGGGTGCAGGCAGGAGCTCCCTCCCCCCGTGGCCCCCAACACCCAGTCCTTCCGGTGCCCTGGCCCAGGGCAGTCCCATCATTCACCCCTCCCAGGAAATGCGGGGCAGGCGGCTTTTTGTTCGGTTGTTTTTATAAGTCAGTAATGAAAGAGATTAAAGGTGCAAGCATTGAATTGCCAGGTGAGGCTCGCAAGAGAAGGCCCTCCGGCCGGACTCTGAGACATTCCCTGGGCAGCCGCCGGTTTCTGTGCGGCAGAGGCCGGGGAGCCCGCCCCACGCCAGGGCGCAGCCTCAAGCCCAGCCATGCTCCTGGGGAGCCGGCGGGCCCCGGCTTCCTTAGCGCGCACTGGCTCCCCGGCTCTATTTTCCTGCCGAGGCTCAGGCTCCGGGGGATTTCTGACTCTAAACGTCCATTCCTTGCAGGAGGACTGGCCCCGACCCCACAGGGGGCTGGCTTTGTCCTAGAGCAGCAATTTTCAACCTCTGCCACCTCAGGGCACACGTGACGTGATTACTGCGGCACACCGGAAAAGACATTTTTTGCTGATCTGACCAAAAAAATGAGTGTAATTTTGATTCATTCACACTGGACAGTGGCTGTTGTATTGGCTGTTTTCATTTTTTTATTTGCCAAGTTGAGGGAAAAGAGGCCAGTGTCCTGACTCAGTCGTCAGGCACTGCTTGTTTCAGAGGTTCCGGTGGCGCTGACATCACTGCCCTGCAGCCCTGCCAGGGTGTCAGCACGAAGCTCATGTTTGTTTAAGACAATGGACAGAGACGTCACTGCTGGTTATCAACAATTAAATGGCTTTGCAGAGAGCTTTTAAAAAAGCGTTAAATGTATATGGAAAGGTTCTCTTGTCCTCTCTTCTATTTAAGTGAAAAACCTCATAAAACCTCATGAGCTGATAAGTCACTATTGCAGTGAAGGAGTCTCATTTGTGTCACTTGATGGAGCTTCAGGTAATTGCAGGTTGGAGGGACTTTGGTGGTAAGTAGGGGAAATAATTGCAATCTCATTAATTAGTGGTCTGATTTCATATCCTCTTATGGAAGGCAAGCAAGTGGTCTTAAGTAATAATGCTAATGAAATCAATGTTGATACCCCAACAAAGGTCTCCCTTCCAAGAGATTATCTAAATAACCAACAAGGCAGTGATTAGGAGTCTCATGTAATTGCCGCATTTGCATGCACAAGGCCCGAGTCTATCAGCTCGTGGCAAGGAGCCGGCAAACGCTCAGGCATCGTGAGCAGGAGGGGGCGGCCGGGCAGGCCACTGGCAGAGGTGCCGCAGACTCCTAGCCTTTGCGGTGGGGACGGGGGCACTGAGGAGGGCCTGGTCCTATTCCCTGCCCGCACATCAGAGGCTTACGGGTCGGCACTTCCCTTGGCAGGTGGGGGCGCGTCGGCCGCCCAGGCTGCCAGGTCTCCTGATGTTGCCGCTGTGGTGGTGCCCATCTTGTTCCTGGTCCTGCTGAGCCTGGGGGTCGGCTTTGGCATCCTGTACACGAAGCACCGGCGGCTGCAGAGCAGCTTCACCGCCTTCGCCAACAGCCACTACAGCTCCCGGCTGGGCTCGGCCATCTTCTCCTCGGGGGACGACTTGGGTACGTGGTTCTTCCTCCCCGGGCAGACCCACAGAGCCAGTGACTTGATTAGGAGGTTCCTGCCTTTGGCTCATCTTCTGACTCTAGTGGGGCTGTGCATCAACTAACAATCCCACTGCTTTACACTAGACCAGTTAGAACCCTTTGCTTTGAATTTGCTCCTAAGTTAAAGAACCAGTGTTCTCCTCCACAGTGCAGTCTGACCTGAGCCAGGCAGCGGTGTTGTGGATGCACTGCTCGCAGCTGGCCTGGCACAGGAAGGACAGAGGGACCCTGGGTGCTCCCTAAGGATTAGCAGGTTCTCAGGGATTTCCAGCCCTCTCGTCTTTCGGAGACCTGGAGGCCTGGTGTCTCTGGGGATCCCAGTCAATACAGACAGTCTTGCTTTCCCAGTCGGCTCCTGTCCAAAGAAGCTATTTCCACTTCGCTATTTCCTTTTCTGACTGCTCGTGCTGCTTCCCCGGTCCTTCTTCTTTTACGTATTGATAACATAGAGCAGGGGAGGAGAGGGGCCTGTCCCTTGTATAAAAGTCTGCACACTCCAATACCAAACACTGATGGAGCTAGTAGACCACTTACTATAATAAACAGGGTGTGTTTGGGGACTTGCCCCAGATTGAGGCTTCTCCAAACGCAGAATGCTGAAGGTGAGTTTACACATTCATTCTTTCCTGTAAACAAATTGTAATTGTTTTGTTTGTAAAGTCATTTATGCATTCCCATTCACTGATCATTTGAGATTAGTTCCTTTTCTCAATTCCTTTTTTTTGCTTTATTACAAGTTCTTGAACACCTTGCACGAGGGGAGTGTGTCCTTTGCCTGTGGTGTTGGGGGCAAAAGCAGCCATCCCATTACAGGGCTGCCATGGTCACTGAACGCAGAATCGGCCCAGGATCGCCCCGGGGCCCGAGGGCAGCGTTAGGCTGGGGCGCTGTCCTCTGAACACTGAGCGCTCTCTACGGTCCTTTCCTTTAGAGCAGTGTGCGTTCAAAGCAGAAAACAAGTTCACTGCCCAAACATAGGGTGTGGATAACTCAAATTGGGGAACTTAAAACACCCATTGGACTTTTAAGTATAGAGAGTAAGTTTCTCCTTCCTAAAAGATTGACTTGACTTACTTGGTTAAGTTCAAGCATCATCAGAATAAACTCAGCCACCTGCTGATGGGAGAAGGGGACCCCAAAGTGTCAGAGGGAGGCTGGGTTCAGTTTTGGCATCGATTACTGTGTGGGCTGCTGTCACGCTGACCTTCCGGCAGGGACTCGCGATGGGTCGGGGTGGGAGTGCCCAGCGGTGGGAGGTGGGACCGGGCACACGGGCACGGCAACTCACTGTGGACCGACTGTTCTGCCCCTAGGGGAAGACGACGAAGACACTCCGATGATAACTGGGTTTTCCGACGACGTCCCCATGGTGATAGCCTGAAAGAGCTTCCTTCCTCACTAGAAACCAAATGGTGTAAATATTTTATTTGATAAAGATAGTTGATGGTTTATTTTAAAAGATGCACTTTGAGTTGCAATGTTATTTTTATATGGGCCAAAACAAAACAAAGAGAAAAGAATGAGTAAACTTTGTAGTAATCAACTGTGAACTGGAAACCAGGTTGATTTTAGCAACCAGATTGCTTTGATTTGATATTAACGTAGTCTTACAGGGCTGTGCTTGCTGGGCATGCTTTTAAGTCTGTGAGATTGGCCAGTGTTTTTATTTTTCTAAGACACAGAAATGTATTTAATAAAAACTTCAAGAGAGAGTGGTGGGTGGAATCCCTCCTCCTTGAAATTATGCTTCAAAGTTTAAATTTTGTTTGGGTTTAGTTTATATGAAAGTGTATGGTGGGGGAAGATGCTTCTATGTTATTTTGTTAATTTATTGGGACTCTGTATGAGGCCAGACTGTGGGGTCATCTGACACCGCACATGTTCTGAGCCCAGCTGGGGGGCGGGGTGGGGGCAGAAGCAGTGAGTCGCCATCTGGAAACGATCCCTTTCTGTTGACTTGTGTGTCCCGTGACGGGGCCCGGAGGAGGGTGCGGCATCGTGGCTCCATCGTGGACACAGAGCTGCCACCTAGGAAGCCCTGGCAGCTGCAGCTGCAGCTCCTGTGCGCAGCCGCGCGGAGCCTCGGTGGCCCTGCTGCCACTGTCGTGCAACCTGCCCCAGCTGTGGGGGAGGACCACACACCTGTGCCAGGATAGACACGGTGGCCAGCCCAGGACCTGCGTTTTCAACTTTTGTTTTCACTTATCACTGGAGAACCTCAAATGCAAAGTTGTATGTGTGTGTTGAGGTGGCCACTTGTCCTTCAAAATTCATACTGATACTTACAGTCATTTTGAATTGGGTCAGTGCCTTCTCTTTTTTCCTTTTCTTCCGCTTTCCTTGCCTGTACGCCTGCCAAATTTAAAGAGAAAGTGCTGTTCATTCTTGTAGAGCTACAGGAGGTCCATGAACTTCAGACCATCCAATCCCATTCACAGAAGGAGCAACACTACTCTGTAAACGGGAATTTTCTTCTTCCTTTAAATGCCACCCCTGTATTCCAATCATGGCCACTCAGCGGGGGTGTGGACTTGACTGTGGACTGACGCCCACCCTTCAGAGTTAGTGTTGTGGCACCAGGGTCCTGCACGCCGAGAGTCCTACTGTGTGCGTCTCACCGCAGAACGCCTTGTTGGTGGGAGGCAGTGAGCTCTGAGCCTGTCACAGTCAGTGCTGGGAGAGGTCCTCTCCCCCCCTCCCCCCCCCACCCCGCCCGCTTTCAGAAACAGCATCTCCTCTTAGGTGCGGTGTGTGGCCTTCTCACAAGTGCTCACTTTCTTGTAACCAAAAGAACCATCATTGGGTTATAATGTAGTTTCCTTCTATCTAGGGGTTATTTGGAAAACAAAGAGCCAATTAAATTTTAGTTTAAAAATATTGAGTGTGGGGCAAAAGTAGTTTATAGTTCGACGTATGGAAAATAATACAATCATTGGTAAATTATACAAGAACAAAGTCTGCTTCCTGTCCTCACAGCTGTAGACCTTCCCCGCCCTTTGTTCAGCTTTGGAGGAGGAGCACTCTGCACTGCACACCTCCGTGCATCCCGGTCCTGGGTCCTGCGGGCGAGGCCCCGCGTTCCAGCTCTCGCAGGCAGCGCCTTCCCGAGTCTGTGCTCTTCCTGCCTCTCGCTCCTTTGTTATCCTTTTTCAGGCTGGAAGTTCTTTGTCTTTGTCTTATCTTGGAGTTTGTTCAAAACTCCAAGCCCATTCCTGGGCCTCTCCCCCACTTTATTAAGCTCTTTAAGTAGCTGGAAGATTAACAGTCTGATGGAATGTAAGTAGTTTAATTGAACCACTAGAAAGTATATTTTCTTCTTCTCTCTTTCTGCCAGCTATCTGGTGCCATCGGTAAAAGCTGATATAAAAGGCTCTGAGACTTTATTTTCAATTATTCCATAGGCAAGTCTTTTTATAGGGCATATGTCTCCAGTTGGCACCCTGAGCTATTTCTGAGTGTCCAGTTCTAATTACCAGAGCTTCCCAGTGCTCAGTAACACAGCGCGGTGCAGACTGGCTCTCCGTCCCCCACCCCTTGGAAAATGCCACTGTGCTGTTTGAGGAGCAGCAGCCTTTCAGAGCTGGAATATTTTGTATAAACAGAAGAGCTAAGTTGCTGAAGACTCAGCTAGATGCAGCTACGTGTAAATTGTATATTTTTGTGAACTTTCGAAGCACGCACTCTTATTCCCTCTGCATAGCTTTGCGGGGTTTTGATGTACATATGCTCTCTGCAAGAGTCCAGAGGTTGGAGTGACAATAAGAAATGAAAAGAAAAACTGTGTGCACCCTTTGAGAGGGACCAGATAATGCCTTCACTGTGACCAGTTTGAGCCCCCGGTTGTTTGTGAAGAAGGGGCTTTTGCACCTTGTTGGAGGTGCCACCTCAGAAGTTCACACTGTACCTACAGGGCACGGGTTAAATTCCCTCCCCAGGCACGCCGGAGCGTCTGTTACAAGCGCACGCCCACGTGAACCCCGGCGGACCGCTGACGCACCCCTTGGGTGAGGCAGGCGGGGCATCGTGCCCCAGCGTCCTCTGGAAGCAGACTTTGCCCCTTTGTGCACTGAATGCCTTTGAGCCTGAGGAGACGTGGGCTCCTGCAGGTGAAATGACCGAGAGTAGAGCTCCCCAGAGGATCCCAGGGAGGAGCCCTGTCTCTGCAGACCTCTTTCCAGATGGGTGAGGAGCTCCGGTGGCCGCCGGCCGCCCTGGCAAGCAGAGGTGCTAGTCATGATGCTGCGGAGCGGGCTGAGGTCTCTGACTTCGGGGAGACGGGTTCCTGGGGTCCACTCCGGCAGCGCCACTCGGGGTGTTTGATGGGACAGGTGGGACGCACAGCCCTGCATGTGCTCGCCTGCCCATCACGTGTGGCCCGCTGGATCCCGCTGTACTTAATTTGGGGAGGCACTGGGGAGACAGATAGTGTCGTGAGGCCCTGACAGAGAATCGGCCTCTTCCCCCTGGAGAGCCCTGCCTTCTGACATTCACTCAGCAGTCGCTTCATCCAGTGAGATTTAGTGCCAGGCTTCCTTAAGGACAGGAACCCGTAACAGGAACAGGAAAGGGTCATGACGACTTCCTGAAAAGATCTCGCTCTCCTCTTAGCAGGGAGTGGGGCGGTCCTTCAGGGAACAGGCTTGGGTTACAGAGGCACACTGGACGCCACCTCCATACTGGCTTTAGGGATTGACTCTGCGCTATACAGAATCTCCACTTGAGTTGGGATCATACCTTGACATCCCTAGCGTGTGACTGTTCTTAATGGGAGTGTGTGCTGCCTTTCAGGTACAATTTTTGTGTAATAAAAGCCAGTGCATTTAGTTTATATAGAATACTTTCTATGCAAGACTGAGATAGGGATAGATACCAAGAGATATGTATTGTTGGGTTCAAGGACAATAAACATGTTTTCAGAAGGGGTATCACCACTGAGCATGGACTGTGGTTGTATCTGTGTTTCTGCCCACTGATTCTGAGCAGCTATATCATGAATTAAATCATCAGAGCCAAATGACCTAAGCATGGTATTAGCTTCTTGTATAATGGCCCAAATGGAATAAGCATGGATGCTGAAGTGGGACAATATTCTCAGATATTCCATGTCATTTTTCATTTAAAGACTCTGGTTATGAATTATTAGAAACTTTAAGCAAAATCAAAGTATTTGCAGCAAAATAAAGGCCTACTCTGCTCTTATCTGAAGTGAAATGCTGTATACTTGTTTTTCTCCAAAGTGAAAATAGGCATTTATGACTTAATTGCCTTGATAAATTTCCAAATCACTGATTTATGCTGAAGATTTTACTCTATTGTTGCACAACTTTAAGATAATTTCTGTCTCAATGTCAACTTTTTTTCACTGAATAAAAATTTAACTGGGTCAAGAAAACACCTGATTGAAAATCTGCTCGTGTCTTGAGTTCTTTTAGGGGCACTAAAGGTGGTTGATGCTGTGTCCGCACACGGTTGGAGATGTCTGTCGGAGATGTTCGCCTCACAGGTGAGGGGGCACTACGACCTGGACTCTGCTGCCAACAAGCTGGTCTCAGGCGGTGGGTGCCTGAAGAACAAGATGTCTTTGTGTCGCTGAGGAGTGGGGAGACGTTGCGTTTTGACGTGAATGGAATTTTTCAGCAAGGGCGATGACTGGGTGGATCCCTCAAAGCTGTGGTTACGTTTGCTACGAGACACTTGGCGAAGAAGGCAGTTTTCACATGTAAGGGAAGCCAGGAGGGCGGGGTGACGAGCTCTGTGTCCGGGGGCACTTTCGGGAGGTCCCCACGAGAGGCGGGGAAGTCTCGGGGAGAACGCCACCCTTGCCTCGGAGCGGTGAGTGGCTGGACCTGTGGATCAGGCCTGGGAAGTGGGGAACGGGGGGTGGGGACAGGTGGTTTTGATTGAACAAATCTGGTTTGCTGCTCTTGTATAAATATTGAGCCCAAATGAAACAAGTGTTACCCTGTTTCGCAGATGAGGAAAAAGAGGCACAGAGAGGTGAAGTCACTTGTTAAAGGGGAATCAGAGAGTGAGCAGCAACACCAGCCTTCAGTGCCAGGTATCCCTGGCCCCAGGCTCTGTCCTTTGTCACTGCACCACCACCTCCTGCGGCCACTTGGTGCCAGGGCCCACACACTCACCCCAGCGCCTTGCACACAGAGAAATCCAAGGGGACGCCTACCTCTGGGTGAATTTACCTGGTCATAGCCCAGCCCTCAGGTTTTTAGGCTGAGGTAAGTTTTGTCCACTCGTGACAGTGAATTCATCTCTCATGGGCAGGCGCACCTTAAGCAAGCTGATGAGACCGCAGGCCACAAAACCGTCGTCCTCTTCGTTAACTGAGTGCGGGCACTAGGCCTGTCCCTCGGAGCGTCAGCATGGCCAGTGCACCCTCTCCTGGAGGGAGCTGCCCCGCGGAGGCCCGTGCCCGCCGGGAGGCTGCGTGGGGAGCATGGGTGCAGCGTCAAGGGCGCGGGAGGGTCCTGGCGACAAACAGTGAAGGAACGAATGGTGGACACTCGACTGCAGGAATGATTTACTCCACGTGCACTTAGTATTTGAAACCTCCGGGTTCCAGCTCCCTGTATCCATTTTTATTTAAGAAGCCTTGGTAATGGGGCCTTAAGCCTTGGAGTCCCTTTGCAGAAAGCTCCCCGGGCGGCCCTGTCGCCCCCCTGGCTTCTCTGGGTCTCGGGGCTGCGCACACCCACCCCTTAGAGCAGCCGCACTTCGCGCTCACACACTTAACAAGTGCATTCAGGCTGGGCTGCAGCAGACCTGCCGGGCCTGAGAGCCACTCTGCCTGGAAGGTTATTCTCCCTACTGTTGACTTGGAAGTTTCAACTCTTGGAGGACACAGCTTTTGAGTGCTAGGGGGACGCCACCGTGTGGCCTCCACATTCGACTCTCCCTGTCAGTCCCGGGCTCCCCGGCCCACTGCCGATTAAAAATGGGAAAGAGGCTGCTGGGGAAAACACCCTGCCGATGAAAGGCCAGAGCCTTACAGGTAAACAGTCAGAAAGCCTTTCTGAAGGACAGAGGAGCTCTCCAGACAAGGATTGGGGTGGTTTAGCCTGGTCCGTCTGGGCCCAGTCCCGACAGTGTGGTACGTGAAGTGGCCCACTCCATTAGAATGACGGTTCCTTTCTATGGAGCCTCTATTTGCTAGTCACTGTGATAAACGCTATATTTCTTTTTTTTTTAATTTTAAAAGTGATCTTGTGATTTAAATACTAACTTATTTTACAAGATGAGGAAAATTTTTTTAACTTCAAGAGAGGGCGAGGAACCTCTCCAAGGTCTCATGTCAGAAGTAGCAGAGTCAAAATTTAATCCTAGATTGATTTCATTATTAGGTTTCTGTTCTTAGTCACCATTCTACTTTGTCCCTTTGGTACAATGAAGTCTTGTAATAGTAACACTATCTGTTTAGGGAATTCAAGGGCATGTGTAATATATTTTTTAAAAATATAAGTGTAGTTGATATAAAATACTAGTTTCAGTTGTCCAGCATAGTGATTCAACATTTGTGTCTTAAAATGCAATCACCACACTAAGTCTAGTAATCATCGTCAAAGTGCAAGCTAATCACAAATTATTGACGCCACCCCCCCGACCTCTTCCAACCACCCGCCTTGCGCCACCCCCTTGGCAGCCCTCAGTTGGGTCTCTCTTTCTGTGAGTCTAGTCTGTTTGTT